ATTGATGAGTAATTTATTATTATTATTATTATTATTGAGTCTCATCCGACTTTGTCTCCGATTGCACTGATGTGTAATTTATTATTATTATTATCGAATCTCATCCAACTTTGTCTCCGATTCAAGAACGCGCGGCAAACAGCCATACAGAGCTGTTAACATGACGTCCATGCAGTGTTATATTGCTTGAACGCGAGACTTCTTTGACTGCCATGTGTTGCATTACTTGTTCAGGTGACGGAGTTCAGATGCGGTGGGTTCGCAGTGGGCATCAGATTCAATCACGCAGTGTTCGACGGCGTCGGGGCAGCCCAGTTCTTGAAAGCAGTTGCCGATGTCGCCAGAGGCCACGCTCGTCCCGTCGTCGAGCCAGTCTGGTGCAGGGAAGCCATCCCCAGTCCGCCGAAGATGTCGCAACGACATGCTGCTTCCTCCCCCGCTGCCTTCCACTTCCAGACCTCCGTGTTCGAAATCTCCTCCGACCGCATCAACGCCGCGAAGAACCAGTTCTTGAGGGAGACGGGCCAGAAGTGCTCCACCTTCGATGTGGTCACGGCGATGCTCTGGCAGTGCCGGACGCGAGCGATAAGCCTGGACCCCCACGCCGACTTGGACCTCGGCTTCGCCGCCAACACCCGCCACCTGCTGCGGGGGCTGCTGCCGGAGGAAGGCTTCTACGGCAACTGCGTGTACCCCATGGGAATCAAGGCGAACGCCGGGACCATCGCTGCTTCCTCGCTGGTGGAGGTGATCCTGCTGATACGCGACGCCAAAGACAGTTTATCAGCCAAGTTCTCGGAGTGTATGATGGGGGGTTCGGCGGAGAACCCGTACGCAGTACCACCGGGGTACGGGACGATGGCAGTGTCGGACTGGAGCCGAGTGGGGTTCTCCGAGGTAAACTACGGGTGGGGAGAGCCGATCCATGTGGTTCCGCTGACTGATGACAATAACTTAGTGGCTTCCTGCATCTATCTGTCGCCGCCCAAGCCGAAGCAGGGCGTGAGGTTGATGACACGATGCGTTGAAATGGAACATCTCCCTGCCTTCAGTGAAGAGCTGATGAAGTTCGCCGCAGATTTGGCGTGAGAGCGACCACCATCCACCTGCAAGTCTCTTCAGCATGCAATGTTCTTCCATGACGTCCTTGTCTTCCATCACCCCGTGTTATCTGGCAATCTCTATTATCAAATAAAAGAGTATTCCACAACATATGACACACAGCACATGATGATACAAGCATTGCACAACGAGAATCGGCTGATCTTGTGTATCAATGAGCGTCGCATTCGTTGATCTGTCCAAATTCTGACGAAGATATTTGTGGGTGATTGGTGAGATAGGGTTTTACGTTAGCAGCAGCTCGTCGTTTCTTGAGTCAGCATCGTCATCACTGACTGTCGGCAACTTGTCTGGTGTGGATCCAATAATGGTATGTTTTTGTATTGGAAAGATGATGATTGGATTCTGTCCACTGCATGCAGTTACTTCCGAACAAATATAAAGAGAACGCAATTAGTGCTGTATACTTACGCTGACGTATATATAGATAAGTATGTCACAACTCCCACCCACCTTTCCCTCGCCGGATTCCTCCCTCGCTGCTGGTCTGCTCTGTTCTCTCTGCCGCCTCACTTAAATTGTCTGCTTCCCTTCTGACTTCCATCTTTTCTTGTGGTCCGAGCTCTACATTAGGTGTCGGCGGCGGTATCGGCATGAGGAGGCGGAGGCGGAGAGGAGGACAATAAAGGTTGTCGAGAGATGGGCGGGGATGAGAGCAGTCCTGTCTTCCACGACTTCCTGGGAATGAGCTACGGCGGCGGCTCGCTCCCGGCCGCGCGATGGACGAAGGGCACCGGGATCAGGAGGCTACCCGGGGAGGCCGAGGCCTCGGGCTCGGCTTCCGCTTCGGTGGGGGTTTCTTCTATTGGGCATCGCCTCATCTCGGGAAGCGTTGATCTGGGTTCAGGTCAGTTCTTCTTCCGATCCTGTTCTCGCTTTGCCTTTCTTTGGCTTCGGTGCCCTCTGTGAGTTGGTAATTCCTTGAAAGAAAGCGCTCATCGTTTTTTTCCCAGTTTCTTGTCCAAACAAGAAAGAAGATCTGCCGATTTCTTCCTCTTTTTTTTTTTGGCACTGATTCAGGGTCCTTTCATGTTTCTGATCAAGGTCTGTTGTCTGTGGAGAATTTATTATGAGTTCCTTTATGGGTACTTTTGAATCTTTGCAGAGAAAATTTGACTGATCGGATGCTTGTTACAAAGTTAAGCGTTCTAATTCCTTGCAATTTTGATGACCAGAAGCACTTTTATTTATTTTCTCTTCATTGATCTTTGGTAGAGATGCAGGGGGTGTCAAATTCTGAGGTTTCTCAGCATGATGGTACTGAGATTGCTCCATCAGGGCTCGAGTTAGGCAACACTACAGGTAGAAAGAGGAACCATTTCGATTCATCTTACATGGGTCCAATGAAAGATGCAGTGCTTCCAATGGGCTCAGGTTCCCTTGAAAGCTCAAATGCCACCAAGGTACTTACTTTGTGTTTTAATTCTGTAATTGCTCCAAAACAGTAAGCACTATGCTTTCTTGATAACCAGGGAAATGGTGAATTTGCTTTTATGGCTGTTATTTCTGATGATTAGATGCTAGGAAAAGAGGTGATTAATGAGCAACTGGGAAGAGCTAATGATGTTGAGATGATGTCCTCTATGCAACCACCAATAAGGCCAACTAAACAGATAGTGCATCAAACTTCTCATTATGGGATTGGGATGTACTGGGACAATATTCCATCGTATGCCTGCAAATATTCTACCTTAGGTGGTGCAATTATCTCACAATCTGCGGCAGATGAAGGTTCCAGGACGGGCATTAGAGGATCCGGAGTTATGAATGTTCTTGGTCATAACAGGTCTTCGCAGACTACTGAACCAAAATCTTATTACCATGTACCCAGGTATGTCTCATTATATCTGTTTTGTGGTTTTTTTTTCAGATATCTACTAAGAGTAGATATCGTGAAAACTTCAGTTTTTTGGTGTGTATTTAGTGCAAACTGTAATTGAATCTGATGAATTGGTGTCCTGCAGGAACCGTGCCACGGCATGTGTCAGTCGTCAGATGACCATATTCTATGCTGGCCAGGCACATGTTTTCGATGATGTACATCCTAATAAGGTCAGTTTATGTTCTCTTGTATATCTTTGGGCTTGTGTGACACGAAATCGAGTCTTACGATATGAATAAGGTATGCACTATAGTATCTTGAGTTTCATCATCTACTGCTTGATAATTTCTCGATCTGCAGCTCTTTTTCTCGGCATGAACAAACTAGCTCTGTTTTTACATCAACAAGTATGTCAGTCTAAATTTGATCTGCTTATTAAGTTTTTGAAATTTTCATTAAAGTTAGAGGTCACCTAACATATTTCAAGAAGACATTGTTTATATTTAATGTACAGTCATTTTCAGCAATAAAAGTTCTTATCCTACATGGCCAACTAATCACAAGCCAATAAAAGATACTAAATGGTATCAGACCAGCTCCTTGACGTACAAAAATATCTTAATTCCGAGAAAAGAGGAAAAAATTTGAAAGATCAGCACGTCGATGACATGATAACGTAATTCCCTTCTTGTGATAATCAACTCTCTGCATAGCCCGTATTAAAATACTAAACAATCTTGAGCCACATATAAAAAGGGAAAAATACATGAACCTTTGAATTTGTCGATACAAACAGCCTTTCATCGTTTAACTACTGTTAGAGACTTTGAACCATTGAGCACCTACGGAAACTAGTATAATCATAAAATCCTTGATCGAGGCACTGAATTAGGCGTCGGTGATCATATTAGGATCCAATATGCAAGCTGAATGGTTGAGAAGGAAGAAGATCACCAAGTTGCAGTATTAATATAATTTGTGATTTTCTTTTTTTTTCTGAGAGAAATAGGCTTTATTTCGGCGGTAGATATTGTTGAACGATAAGCTTTTATTGTTAATGATTCATTTGTTATTTTCAGGAGCAATTGACTTACCATATTTCCTAGAAATCCACATAAATTGGGAGCAGACATCTGCTGCCCCTATCGTCTCTGTCTATGCTTATACTAGTCCTGAGAATTCTTCTCGTTCCGTTTGGTTAATGGCCTTTCTTAAGAAATTTAATCATCTCCTATGCATCAAGATTATAACTTGCCAATCTACTCATGCATCATGATTAGAACTTAAAAGTGCCGATATTTTTGTCTGATCACCAGGCAGATGCCATAATGGCTTTGGCTGGATCAAGTGGAGGATCATGGTCGACCACTTACTCCACAGCCATGAACAAGGCTAAAGTTCTCGGCAGAGACGACACACAAAAGGAAAATGTGCTGCTGTCCAACGGCGGAGATCGAAATCATCTGCTTGGCCAAGTTACACATACTCCAGTCGCGGATCCTCTTTCTGGCCACACATCTGGTACCTGCATGAACCTTCTTTAACTATATCTAATTAGATTGGTTTCGCAGAATTCTTATTCTGGATTGGTTTGGAATTATGGAGTTCAGCAGATCATCGAGGTGGTGTAGCCACAAGAGATGCGAGCCTGATGGCTCGTGCCGCAGAACCTAATACAGAAGGCAAATGGATGTCATAAGTCCGTCTCCGATCCAATTTTGTTGGTAGCAAGTTAGTAGGAGATTTCTGGTTGATGTCGTTGGATTCTCTCTCGTTGTGTTGCCGATATCATCAGGTTGAAATGTCGGTCAACTCTGTAGACTTCATTTCTTAGGTAAAGAGAAAGTTTGACTACTATTCATCAACAAAACGACTTCTCCGGTCAACATCATCTGAAGGAAATCTCAGAGTCAAATCCCCCTCTACTCTCTTCCCCCCCCCTCGTACTCCGCCGTTGACTCTTCTTGGTGCATTGCCACACCCCAAGGCTCTCCAACACCCACCATCTCCTCCGCTGGTGTCTTTTGCAGCACCAGAACATCTTAATGTTGCATGTGTACCACTCGGTGTTGCAATGTTATACACATATATGGCACTCTAATGTTGCACTTCTGGCGTATGTGTCCAAACGTCGACGGAAGAAGATGAGTAAATGATGATGTTGACAATAAAGATGCATTTTTGAAAGGTCAAAATAGTTTACATCTCTTAAAAAAGCCCTTCAAGAAATCCACCTGAAAGGCTATCATGAATTCCACCTAAAAGACCTTTTACCCAACTTGAAATCAAACATAGATACAAGCAACTCTGATTATGGAACCTCAAAAAGACAGTAAAGATGCTTGTAATTCTGGATAAGAAGATACAGACAGGTGACTGACATAGGAGAATTAGAAATCAATGTTTGAGAACAAGAGAGCTTATCCCTCGTTTTTTCTTTGCTAGTTGAAATCGTTGTATGATACAACAACCATGTAGATGATCGGAGATTAATCAAATCGCACCCGGGCAAACGATAGCAGACCAAGCAGAAACCAATGAATGGGATACAACACCTGGTTAATACAACATCTGTTTAACTTAGTAATTGAGACAACCTAAGATAATATAACATGAGATTTCATCATATCTCACAGAAAACTACAGTCTTTCTTGACGCCACCACCTGATGTCAAACATGAACAAGGAGATTGCAGCCTCTGCAGTAAAGTCATGGTCACTTTACAACACCATCAGCTAGCTCAGAGGTCACTTCCAGAGCTTGACACACTTGTCATGACTTGCAGATGCTATAACTCCGGTCACATTTGATACTGCCAACGCTGCAATCAAGCCATCGTGTGCAGTAAGAGTCATGGTCTTGTTCTCATTCATGTCCCAGATTTCCAGCGACTGCACAGAATCAATGACTTAGGTTAGCAGTCATTTGATCGTTTCCATCACAGCACAACTTCAAAAGATCAACAAATAAAACATATGCTACGCAAAACCAAACCTCTCCCTAACTATCACTCTACATGCTCTAATTAGGACAATTTCTGTTCCTAAAATTCCGAGGTGATCTCATGCCCATGCTACATGCATACTCTTTTGATGCAGAATCTGCTTTATTAAGGGTGGAGTAGATTTATAGATAGGTACTAAGAATGGTGCAAATTGAATCAGAGTGTTATTTCATGTACAATCTATAAATCACATGATTAGATGCACAGATGAAAGCGAGTACCACTAGTAGTTAGCAGAAAACTTACCCGGTAACTACCGATAACAAGAAATGATGGATAGCTGGGGTGAAACACACACGAGTGAAACTTATTTCCATTACAACTTAACTCTTTCATACATTCCCCCTCACTTCCCAAGCCAAACGACCAAACTCTGACCGAGTCTTCACTGACAGAAGCCAGACAATCACCTGAAGAGTTCCAGCAGATGGAACCAACATGTTTTGTATGTCCCTGTAGTTAAACAGTGATGTCAATAGACTACAATGCTGTTTGGATAACACGGTAACAGAAGTTTGAAATGATCAAGAAGATATGGATAGTAAAATGGTGAAAAATCTGCATAAACTAGAGAAATCAAAAAATAATACTCAGAAGAGCATATACTTGATTCCCAATCTAATAACCCTCACTAGTGAAACTGTCATGTGCTTCATGTAACAAACAGATAGTCAAGAAGTTTGATGAACTTCATTGCATACTTGAGGTTCCAGATATGATAACCAACCTGTAGTAAATGTCTGCGAGCTTGTGTCTCAACATCTAGTACGCATATGGTGTTCTCGGCAGCAACAGCAAGATACCTACCCTGACGAGGTTGAAACCTCATTTGAGTTGTTCCACCCTGTGTGCACAAAAAAAAATTGAAATAGCATGTGGAAGAATCTTTAGATCAAAACGAACACAAGAAAACCCATTCAAGTGTTGCATTGGTTACTTTACCAAATAATAAGAGGGATTTCTCAGAAATAATTTGAGCAAAAACAAAAGACAATAGCACTGTTTCATACCTTAAAAACTCCGGCACAGTTACCATTATTTATACTCCAATAACGCATTTCTCCATCGCCATCACAAGAACAAATGAGATCCTCTTTACTTGGGTGAAAGTCGAGAGACATGACAGAAGCAGAATGGCCAGTAAAAGTCCGTAGTGAATAGCCTGGCTGTAGCCAAACAACATGTTAAAATAGCTGAATAAAGATAAAATCAACAACCTGACAAGAAAATAAAATATCGACATTGTACATGATGGTTAACAAATCACAAAATTCTTCTGCCTCTCTGAAATTCCTTAAGACCAGATTGCTTCAGACTGGTCCAGTCAAGGGGTGTAAGACATTTTTCTTTGTTCAGCTGGTTTTACAGAAAGAAGTTTGGTGCAGCAGTATCATTGTTCAGAGTCAACCAAAGTGAAGATTGTGATGACCAAAACCTTAATAAACAAGATTCCTAGTATTTTTTAATCTGCCTTCAGGGGCAACTTATATGAAGTCTGACCGAGGGACAAAATAGATTTCAGATAATTTTCTCCCAATACTAATCCAATATTTACTAGACAGAAGTGTGATAAGGTACTTCTAAGATCTTCTATTAAAGATGATGGCAGTTGTGCAGGAGTGGCCATTTTTTGTCCTGGTAGAGCAACTTGAAGGATATTACTCTCCTTGATATGACTATCCAGTTCCTGGTGCTTGACAATAAGATTCACTGAACATACCAGACAATAGTACTGGAGGGAAAAAAAAAATTCTAGCTAAGCTTAATGCAACGACTTCCTCATAACAATAAAATAACTTAGAAGAAGAAGATTAAGCAACATATTCTCAAGAAACATACAAATGGGGCATCATCTTATCTAGCATTTGCCAACTCATGGTCATATATCTATATTATTCCAATGGGATAACTCCTTGCAAAGCTGTAATATACTTGACCTGGACTAATAAACCTCAATAATATGTTGCGTGTAATATACCCATGAGAAAGATGATATTAACATGTGGTTGATTCCACTGTTAAACTTTGCTTATTGACAATTAAGGTACTCTTTTTTATTCCGTAAACGTTCATACTTCATAGAAACAAAATTGTGTGTGGAAGACAATTTGAATGTGCAACCTCAAACACAAACTTTGTGCCATAATGAGTGTGCTTATTCCTAAAATGTAATAAATTTTCCCTAATAATGAATGCACCAATCCCGTATGCCTCGAAGAAATGGAATCAAACCACTTGTTTACAACTCTTATTATTTGGTACATATTTAAGATTTATAGCAATTGACAAATTTGTGTAATCTAAACCACGTTTCCTTGTGATTATCCAATTTTATATTTTGGCAACGTTTATACTAGGTACTATAAATAATGAATTTAAATAATCTTAAATAACTAAGAATATTGCTTTTTACAAAACTTAATGATAACAAAGGATCCATGTGGCTCATCCCGAATAGTTGGGACATTACAGTTGTTATTGTAGCATGTCTTGTCCTAGTTCTACAAAATTTTCTGCGATTATTTGACAAAGTTTCATCTATAACCTTGTTAAGCACTCAACCATATAGTCTCTATATATCATTGAAAACCACATAAAACAAGTATCATGCTACATCCTCGTTATTGCTTGTTTTTGTTCAACAATGACAAGTAAGAGAAATAATTTGTAGTCTAGCAAAAAAAAAAAGTTTAGCCCTTTCCTTAAAAGAAACCCATTTTCTCTTTTATCCAAAATAACCATTTGTTGATGATCTCAGACATAACTAAATGCATCCAAGGATGAGCTTCTCTGAAGCTGGATTGTGTGTGGGTCTGGTGAAGTTTGTGGAAGGTGTTGCACGGGTTTTGACAAGACCAGGTCATCACAGTATGGACCCCAAGTCAACTAGTGTGCCAATACACACTTGGAAACACATAAGACAGACCAATGGCCAAGCAGCTGGCTAAAAGAACAGTCAGTACGTCTTGGTATGGCATTCATGTATGTCATGTTCATTGAGTTTAATTACTCATGGTGATCCATTCATACTATCCCTTCCAATAGTATAATTCTTCCAAGACTAATATACTGTGGATTATCTTTAAACTCCAAACTAAATAGCGAAAATAGTCCAAGGGATCATTTGTCTAATTGCATCACATAGTTGTACTACAAGTAAACAATGTGAAGGTCCTCCAGTAGATAGATATCCATCACAAAGGACAATTTACAAATGAATAAAAAACTGCCAATAATATCTATTACTCCTTGGTGGTTGTCATTGACTTAAGAAGTTACAAAACTTCAGAACGATTTTATTATCACACTGGAGGAAACACAGGGATAATATAACTTTTGTTGACAATATGTGGGAAACCTCAATGCCCTAACCTCATTTTAAGCCAAACCAACAATTATTTTCTGCATTCACTAGTTTTAGTATAAAGTATAAACATCAATTCAGGAAACTGGCAAAAGATACTACAAAACTTATTATTTATTCCATCACAGATGCTAAGTTATATGAGACAGATTTTGATAGATTCAGTTATTTACAGATTTTAACTCAATCTAACTAAACCTACTAGCCTAATAACTTTTACAATGTCCTAGCAACATGAACCAAATACTATTAAGTGCAAGTTATTACGATAGGCAACTCATATATTATCATTGTAGATCTTGAAATATCACAGAGAGAATGAAATATTTGTCCAGAAGTGATAAAGCAACAGCATACAGAGCAGAAATGAAAGTACGAGTGCATACATCTAAAAATATTCCTAACAAACCATAATGATGTCCAAATGACAAAACAGATGTTTTTAATAAAAAGTGTTGCATTATAGCATGAGAAGTGAAGCACTTAAAACTAACATTATCAACATCCCAGACTCTGACAGTCTTGTCAAATGATGAGGTAGCTAGGCGTGGCATGCTAGGACTAAAACGAACATCAGTAATCAGCAGTGTGTGCTCCTCCAGTGTTGATTTGAGTTTTAAATCATCAGCATGCCACAAAACAGCCTGCATGACAAATCAGTCACCTTAAGTAGTTGTACATATTTCACCATCAAGATGGGAGGATATGACTCCTAATTAGTAACAAATGATTGTTGGGCCATCAAATCTCTTTGACCTTTTTATCATGGCCTCCAGTTGCAAGGAGCTTTCCATCTGAGGAGAAGTGGCAGCAAACCACTTTGTTTGTACTTGCTTTGGCTGATGAGATCTCATTAAACATGAAACCTGAAAGAGCAATTGCTGATATCAGACAGAGCAAAGCGGTCATGACACTTACAAATTTCAACCTAATTCATGTATCTGAGAAACATGAACAAAGAAAAAGATCGAAGAGATATAACACCTTTTGCAGAATCCATAGAGCGACCAACCACATCTCTTGGATCAGCATCATCATGAGATAGAAATGACTCCACATTATCATCCAAAGAAGCATCCTCCACAAAACGATCCATGTCAGCCTGCAAGCCAATTACTTTGTCATCTAACCATCAAAATGCAGTACAAATAGATCTGAGCAAGGTGGGATGTCAATGATCAATAAGCAACAATATTCCTGGAAAATTACCAACTGGTTGGTTGGAGATGTCAAAGAACCAGGCCCATCACCAAACATAACCAAAGGCTTAGATGAGCCACCATTATGTTGCAATTGTGTCATTGATATCACATCTCCTGGTGTATGAGTTGATGGTGTTGAGGGTGCAGAGCTTGGAGAAGGCCCAGCTGTATTTGCAGTTCCTGAGCTATTGGCAGGACCTGAGGATGACACAGGCTGTTTTCGTTTCCGGCCGGTTTGATTATTTGAAGTCTACAGTCCATGAAAAACTAGTTGCTACAAGTTAGAGGAAAATAATAAACATTTCAATATTTAAATGGATCTGAAATTTTGTGATTCACTTAAAGCAACTTCTTTTCTTTTTTCACACTCTCAATAGTAAAAAAAAAAGGTCAGGACAGCCAGATTCCATAAGTTACTTCTAAAATCGAACTGATCTGATCCAACAGAGCAATCAATCATCTAAACAAACTAGTTATGCTGATGATCCAATAATCTAACTGACCATTTAATCTGATCTATGCCTATGATGTAGGACAAACTCTTATGTCAGTTATAATTTAAGATGAGCTATAATCTTAACATATAGGACAAGTTCATGATAAGAAAGTTTTTTTCTTTGGGGATAGAGAAACAGAAGAAACATGAAAGAGATAATAATAGTGAAAGATAGTTATAAAAAAAGACAGTTTAGATCAGGGATCACCGTTTCGCCCGGACCAGTTTGAAGCAGGCAGCGTGTACCAGTCCGAGCATTGACCGGTACGCGGACCCACCCCGGTCTGGTCCGCCGCATTAGAGAAGTGGGAAACCCTAATTCCCACTTCTCACGTGAGCGCCGCAGATCGCGAGCGTCATCTCTGATGCTGCAATCGATGCTTCTCACGCAAGCGGCTATCAGACCGGGGTGCGATCATTACCTCATTGCACCAGTTAAGTCTTTCTCCTCTTCCTCTTCCTCCTTCCTCTTCCACTGCTTCCTCTTTTTCCCTCTTTCTTTCTCCTTCCTCCATTGTCCCTTCCTCTTCTCCCTTTTTTCTTCCTCTCTGAAACACCGATACTTACCGGTGTACTGTGTCAATACACTGGTACAGATCGATATGTACCACCCCGACAAATCTCCGAGTTGGCTCTGGTACCCGATTTGATAAACCCTAGTTTAGATTCAGTCCTACTCAAGAAAAAATCTCTCAGCGATGAAAGCCCCACACCTATGCACAGGGTCTGCCGTACCGCCCGGTACGGATGGTACGTACCGGTCCGACAGGTTATCGGTACGCGGACCGACTGTTACCGGTCCGAGAGTACTGTAGTAGTACACTGTAGCACTATAGCAGTGCTACAGTACTCGATACACCTGGGTGTACCGCTCGGTATACCGTACCGTACCGGTATCGAGCCCAGGTCGAAATACCGGTATGGTACGGTATTACGAACCTTGCCTATGCATATCTCGCACATGGATGATGAAATTATATCATCAAGAAAATAAATATGACCTCATATCACTCAACCTTTCCCAAATAAAGAAGACTACAAGAAAGAAATTGCATCCCATACATAAGAAAAGAAATAATCATTTCATCTTTCCTTCTTAAAGGATGATGCATTTTCAAATTTTATTTACCAGGCAATCTATCAAGTGTTTGCAGGAGCTGTATGCCAGTCCCAGGCTATGATACAGCACCATTAGAATAGCAAGTGTCAAAGCTGGACCCATCAACATAGAGGAATATGGCCAATGCAGCTCGCATGTGATCATCAATTAATCACTCAACACAAGAATTGGTTTTACCAAAAAAATAAAGTTATTCTCCGGTAGTAAGTGAGAGCAATGGTAGTTTCATCATTTCACTGAATAAATAAATTTTTTAGGTTAAGGAAAATTCAATCAAGAATTTGGATTTTTTAGACAAATCTCCATTTCATAAAATACAAAAAAGGGCCTAAACATCAAAGGCAAACTGTTTTTACACTAAAGCAGAACTAACCATGCAGTCCTAACCTTTTATCTTATTAGCATACGATCTTCGGCATTTGTATCATGAGCTCCTATTTTCAGATTATAACAACAACATGAGATGCTTAAAGATTCTGTATGTGTTTCATTTGTCAAAAAATTCACAAGGAGAGTAACAAAAAACTGATTATAACCCTAAGAAATAAAGACGGAAAAGAAAAAGATATTAACAACCAAGCAATAACAGAAAATCAAGTGAAAAATGTGTCATCTAAGCACATCAAAATCTCAATATGACAGATCTGCTTCAGACATTATAGAACTATAATTGAAATTTTCACACTAGTGAAAACCTTCACAATCTTTATCTGTCTCATATAAACACTAACAACAGATTAAAAAAAATTGTCAGTGCCAATATAAGGTAAAAGATATACCTGATCAGTCCCTCTAAAGGAATTTGACATGCTTCCATCAACTGTCATACTGGCTGTTCCAAGTTTTTCCTGATGAAGAAGGTGATTTGAATTTTGTGATTGATGACTTGAAAGAGCATGTTGTTGACTGCTGCTGCTTTGCTGTCGTGGCTGCAACTGAGCTATTTTCTGTTGCAAATACAAAAAGAAACAAGATTTAGACGGTTGAGATTTTTGTTTTTATCCATGCAATCAACTAACGGTGTGAAGAATGAACTATAATCATTGCAGAAGGAAAAGCTGTGACCTTTATTAGCAAATCTGAATCTGTCCGGGACATTAGAGGACTTGGAGTTTGCATGGAAGATCCCACATTTGGAATGACATCATTAAGGGCATTTGACTGGCCATCCTTCCCCAAGACCATGTTCCTGTTATGCAGAAGCATTCTTAGCCTTCTGTTATCAATATCTGCAGCTGATGGAGAATTCAGATTTTGCTGTGCCTGAAGCAGTAGCTGCTGTTGATGCGGACTTAGAAACTGGAGTTGATGAAGCGACTGAGGTGATTGCATAAATGACTTTTGCTGTTGCAAAAGCCCTGGACGAATTTGATCTAGACCCTATAAGTTGAAAAAGAATTAAATGTCACTAGACATATTTTGCATTCCAGTAATATACCCAAAGTCCTAATCGAAGAGTCCAACAAGAGAAACACTAAGCTAAGCTGATCCCTTCATCCAATAAACACAGGAAACAAATAGATATACAGCCATGCTGCCATGCACACAAATATGTAACTAGATCATTGCATAAAAGGTACCCAGAATGTAACCTCAACATATCTTTAATCTGAGGGCCCTCATTGCAAATTCTCTTTGGCTCCTTTGGAAAAAATCATGATGAACATCTACACGGCAACCACCAAATCCAACCATTCACTCAATGGAAAGCTATTGGTATCGCCAATGATTATATTTCTTCATTCAGAATTCTTAAGAGGATGCAGGGAGGCCTAAGAATCCTTGTAGGAATGATTCACCTGCTAGTTATAGTTTGTTGTTGGAATGTCATGGGTCCTCCAAAACTAACACAAGACCTGCAGGAGTTGGTTATTTTTCCAAGAATTTCCCAGGACAAAAAAATAGCAGCTGAACGCCGTACTCACAGGGCCCAATCTCCTACACAAGAAGGAAGTTTGGTAGCCAAAGAAGGCCCCTTTCAGAGTTCAGAGAGAAGGAATTGCAACTCGTAGGTAAAATCAGACTCTTTACAACTTATCCACATCCCTGACCATTTACAAGAACCTTGGTGGTCTTGAAGAGTTTGCTATAGACATTTTCTATGAGGCACAGAATGTTAAGGTTATGCAACAGCCTCATATTTCTGTCTTGTAATCAATCTTCTCATGACCTAGCTAACCTACCTAGAACACAGGAAATGCCACGAGTGCGAGGACCTGAAGATGCTAGCAGGTAGCAATCACTAATTTTGGGTTTAAATTTGAACTATGCGTCTTTGATTGAGTGAAGGTTATGTTTTCTTTCTTTCATAAAAACACACAAACACACAAGGCAGAAAAAGAAGAACATATTGCATAAATTTTCGAGTAAGGAAATACACATTTTATTTACAAGAAACAAGTATAACCAACAAGAATTAGGATTTCCGGATTCAGATATCACAAGGGCATACTTACATTCAGGGGCCAGCCTTTCAGAGTCAGATTGTTGCCAGCCTGATTAGGCCCTGTTAGAGGAGTACTTACAATCAGTTCATATGCTCTACAGAAGAAACACTGAGTTAATCTGGAAGTGTTTTAAAATAAATGGTGTTTGGACATTAAGTAACACAAATGGTCACTTAGAGAAGCTAAGCATATAAATATGTTACTTCCTCACACTACGTATCAGAGCCCCTTGAAATTAGCTCAAACAACATATTAAATCAGAAGCATGCAAGTAAAGAATCTAGATATGAAATTAGAGACAGCAACCAAAAAAGCCTCGAAGAATCAACCAAAAGGCACCATAATTAATTTTACAAAAAAATCAAACTTTTAGAGGAGACTACCTGGAACTCCAATTAATGAAGCATCAGGACCTGCAGCTCTGGGGTTCAGAACTGGACTAATCTCACTCTTTATGTCCTGTTCATGTTAGAATTATAACATTAGCAATACATTGTGAAACAATGTCATGTTTATAAAACAAACCTGTGATGATCCAGGAAGCTGTTGATTCCTAGCCTGAACCTGCTGCAGAGGTCCTGATAGACCACCAGCCGAACCATGCAAAACATGCCTGAAATGGAAGCATTTCATGACAGATCTCAAAATCTATTTACAGCACTTTAAATCTAAAACTAAGCACCAGCAAAAGCATGCACAATAACCATTAAACGGTTCAGAAATGCATAGGTATTAAACGGCACAATTTGCACAAATGCATATCAGGACAATATACATGGGTCTTGGTATCTATGTCTGTGTTGACATAGACATGTAATTATCAAATAAAAGTGCAAAAGTCTGCTGCAAACTGAGCACACACTAATTTCAAAATTGTTAACTGAGCATACCCTGAAGGTTGTCCAGGGGCTGCAGCTGACTTCAGCAGGGAAGCATGGTTTGGGTCCATGACCTGACCCACATGTTCACCAAATCTCTGCAAAAAGAACATAATAATTTGTCGATAACATGGAAGATGCACATCTCAATTCTCAAGGGAAACAAAACCTTCATTCTGGAGCACCTTAATCGATGCCTCGTCCAAAGAGTCCCTTTGAAGTGGCAACTTCAGCCGTTCCTCGTACATTTTTGTTGCCAAGGCATTAGCTGTTCCAGGATTCTGGCGCATCAAGGGATCAGCACTGACAAGCCCACTGGCATTGCCATTCAAAACCTGAGATCCCTCTCTACGCTGTGGCTGCTGCTGTTGTTGATGCTGATGCTGTTGCTGCGCCTGCCTCTGCAATAAAAGTTGTTGTATTTGAATTTGTTGCTGCTGCTGCTGTTGAGATGGTTGCTGCAGTTGCTGCTCTCTTGCCTTTAGATGTTGAGTCTAGCAACAGAACCAACATGGATGTTCAGACTAAAAAGATCACAGGCAATCTATTTTATGGACCAGCACTTTACATATATACATAAATATATATAGGCATGTATGTGTGTGTGTGTGTTTGTGTGTCAGGTTCCAGAAGATGGTGGCAGCCATAAGCTGCAACTTTTTTCTCATGTCACTTCTTGATTGAAAACTGTGTGCAAAGTTTCTCCAAAATAGTATAGTGAATTCCAAATTGTTATTTTTATTGTTCTTGCTGCTAGCCACCCAGACGCTGATGGGAACCTTTTGCACTAGGTTGCCCTTGTTCTTATTGCTTCCACTGTCATTGAGACGGTTGCTGTTGTTGCTGCTGTATTTCTTTTAAAACTTGAGTTTGGCATCATAATTCAACTTGGATGTTTGAATCGATTGCCATTAATTACATTAAACTAAGGGAATACAAACTCTATTCCAAGGATCAGCATACAAACTCTATTCGTGGGCATCTTTATCATTTCACCTTAAATTTCATCTAAGAAAACCACCTGGCAAAAGCATTTCTGGTAGTAAGACAAAAACAGGAGGAAACTATATCTTCCAAATTGAGCTTGCAGAATCACTGTTGTTAACTGGAATGTTTGTGTAGGTCCTCTGACAACAAATACAGACTAGACAGTAACAGAATAGTTGGGCCATGGCCTTGAGCCCCAACATGCTCCAAAGTAGGCACTAGAGACAACAAGATTAGCACAAGCAAAGAGACCCAGGTAAATGAGAGACACCTTTGTCAAGGCTTCATGAACTTTTAACACAACATACTGCGACGAGAATTAGAGAATATTACCTCGATGTAAGAGGCAGCAGCATCAGAGTGTTTTTCGTTTGTCCTTGCAATAAAAATATCCCAGAACACAGACCACCACTCGAACAGAAAACCACCAGGAGCATCAATAGCTGAGAAAAGGCCAATCCCAGTATTCAATCTATGAGCGGGAGAACTCCAAAGCATAAACACCACAAGTTCCATTAAACGCTACGCAACCTACCCACTGGATCCGACGACACCTTGGCTTCAGCTTGAAAGGACTTTGCAGTCGCCTGCAGGTCTCTCTTCATCAAATAATCGTAGATGTACACATCCAACCTGGTTCCCCAGTATCAGAAAAACACCAAATTTTCCATCGGTAGAAGAAAAAAGGGATGCAAAGGTGCCCACAGAACAAGAAAAAACCAGATATGGTTCACCGTGAAGCATGTCTTCAACAACAACAACAACTCAGAAGTGCAGAGAACTAAAATAATCAGGAGCAAATCCATTCGTTGGTAATCGAACAACGAGCAGACATCCAAAAAAAGCCAACAAGGCCGATAAAAAAAAGAGTTTTTTCCAGAAAGAAATCGAGGAAACACATCACGCTGCTCGAATCCTGAAAAAACCCAAACGAAGGACCGAACAAAGAGGGGAGCAATCAAGCAAGTCCATAGCCTAACTAAACAAAACTCACATCTTATCAGCTTCCCAATTGGTCTGCGACATGATTCCAGGACCAAGTCCGCCCTTTTCCGAGGGCTCAAATCTCGCTCAATCCACCGGCGGCGAGATATCACGGCGTCTCCGCTCGGCTCTGCTTCCGCAGCGAACGGCAACGGATCAAATCGACAGACCACTCCTTCCCCCCTCTTTCTCCTCCCACCCAAACCCTAAAGATAACGGAAATCATACAAGATATAGGATTAAAAAAAGAGAGAGAGAGAGGTCTTAAAAAGAAGTTGAAGATTAAAAAAAAAAAGAATACTATATAATTACATATAATAAAAAAAGATCAACTTCCGTGCAAGGGTAGCAGCTCCTCTAGTCTGATATGAACGACAGAAGTACATCAAAGAGAATGACCAGAAAATAATGCTTATTCTCCGAGACCGAGGCCTCTCTTCTTCGGATGGTAGTAGTGGACGATAGTGCGTGCAATGCACCATTTATCGGTCTGGGAAGAGTGCGGCCGATGATGACCCACCCGCTATGCCTGCGAAGGGGACAACAACGCGCTGTGTGACATTGAATTCTTTCTCCTTTTTGTGGTGGGATAAAAATGAATCCTTGCCGTTCATTCAATTATGTCCCATTAAATCCGCCTCTCATATGACAAATTACGTGTGTTACGGAGTGTGGTCCGACTTTGACTCTGTGATGTATTATTGAGAGAAGTCCTCTATCTAATTGCATGTCTAGATTAGTCGTTTAGCTCTGTCGTAACGACAAAGTCACCTGTCAACAAAAGCGACCTGAAACCAATGGTTTTAGTGTCTTTAATTATTATTTTTTTCTTTGCGTGGAGGCCTTTTTTTTTTTTTTTTTTTTGCTTTTCTCGAAAGGTATTCTCATTTTTTTTTATTTAGTATATTTATTTCCTCTAATATCCTAAAGGTCTCCCCTCCCTTCACTCGTCATCCAATCGTGAAGCTCGTTTGATTCCATATTTATTTGCTCGTTTGATTCCATATTTATTTCCTCTAATATCATTGTCACTCGTTATCTCGTCGTGAAGCTCCTTTGATTCCATATTTATTTCCTCTAATATCATTGTCACTCGTCATCTCGTCGTAAAGCTCCTTTCCATATTTATTTCTTCTAATATCTTTTTAATCGTGACTCTTGTTTATTACTATTATTACATGATGCACCGTATTCTCGGTTTTCTTATTTTCACTCTTCCTAAGAAAGTTTTGTCTCGTCTCTTCTCATACTATTTGTGCACAGATTATTCTTCTCTTTCTTATCTTTTTCGATCTTCATGCCTCCTTTTTTATCCCTCACCTTATCACCCTTGTCAAGAAATGATAGAAACTTAGGAGGACGGGACAAAGACGATAAATAATGACGAAAGATAAGTATGGCATTGGAATAAAAAGAGATACAAAAAGCTAAGAACATCTATTTTTTTTAAATAAACAAAATAAATTCACGACAGTTGAAGTTCATAATTGAAAATTAATGTCTATTTACTCCAAATCAGTCCTTCTCGCATCCAAATCGACAAATGGTCTGTCGCTATGGGCTCCCTCAACCACGGATAGAGCCAAACCACCATCCCTCAAACACTGCTTAGCGATCACTCACCAAACTAAATTGTTTTTTGGCAGAGATCGAGAACTAATTCTGACAGACATTTTGTAGAAAATGACTGCGCCGTATATGCTTACTACCTGTAAATTTTCATGCATATTTTCCTAATTTTCTAGGTGTGAATCAGAAGCCTGAGAGCAATTGGTTCGAGAATATATCCGACACCTTCTCCCCGTGTATTTTTCCGTCAGATTGGATCATGTTCGAGTTTCAACTTTCCCATAGCAAATTGTAATTGGCCCCATCGAAGAACGCTCATCGACGTTGGATGTGATAACAGCATCACGTAGTGCATCATCTATGGATACAAGTCATTGTTACCTTTGAATGAATAGAAGGCATTTGGAATAAACCAACAATGATCTACGATGGGCAACCATCTGTGATTTATTCAGATTAATAGTTTTGCAAGTTCAGGATGATCAAATACTACGAACCGAACAACAATCCGAGGGGGATCAGAGATGCTAGTTATGCATCTATAAATAAACAGCTTCAGGCTTTTAATGACAACCAAGAACGAGAATCAAGCAGTTGCCTCAGTCTTTGATGTCATCTTTGTCATCGGCAGGGATCGGCTTGTTCCTCCAGAAAACAGCAAGAGCGCTCCCACCAAGCTGTCAAAATATGAAGATGAAGTATGATTAGTCACCGTAAGAAAATGGTAAGAGAGTGCATGCTGATGAGGTATCAGGTGAAAGTCATACCACCATGAAGACAACGCTGACAGCTGAAGGTGCGGCGACAAGAGGATTTGTGAAATGCTTTTGGGCAAGCAGAAATCCTAGTGTGGAACTCTGTGCAAAGACGTGAAAAGGATGTACAGAAAATCAATACTCTGTGCAAAGCAGAAAAAGAGAATTTTTCAGTAATATTCTCGTAGCAGTCTCCATAAAGGCTCTTCTAGAACGTAAAGATCCGACAAAAATCAGTATCTAGAATTGATAACAAACAGATGAGAGAGGTTAACAGTTGTTTTTCTCTTTACCAAAAGCTAACACTAATTTTTCGCTTATGATATGTGCAGTTGAAGAGAAGCCTTTGTTTTAAGCCACTAAAGAGATGAAGATGTTTGCAAAATATGTGTTCCCTTTGCATAGGTCTGCTAGTATAACTACAAGCAGAACAAGGTGTCCAAGATAACTGCTGTTATGAGTGTTAAAATGTTTAGAATATTGCTGTAGAATCTTGAATTTTTGTGAATATTGAGTCCTGAGTTGGCACGAGTATATTTATCTTTTGTGCAACTTAAGTACATAAGTGTACCTGCATTCCACATTCTATGGAAATGGTACGAGAAGTGGATTCCCCAAACGATGACAATCTTGAGAACCAATAGCCAAGAGCAAAGGCTGCAGCATGAAGGAGAGCTACAGGAACAATCAGTTGTGCTCCTTGAGCTTTCAAGACTTCTGCAACTTGTCCAATCTATCGAACAATCAAATAAGAAATTATCTCTCCAAGAAAAACAGCAATTAAAGAAATACTTCAACTGATGCACAACAAACTAGGATTTGCTGCATTAAAAATGTTCTCCAAAAATTCCCTTGTAAGTAAGAAATGACTAATGATGCCTTTCTGATTTCTTCTTTGCTAATTTTTCCTATAAGACTAAGCTCGGTAACAATAAAAAATATTAATATCATTAAAAGGCCAGCAATTCACACTTTAAATCAAATTCAGAGTTTCAATTATGTGACCTACTCCATACTGACTTGAATCCACTGATATACTTACAGGGCTTGCACAGAGCAATGCAGTCAGGATAGCCCCAATCAGTGGTGTAAGTGTGATCATTCGCTCAGTGAACTTCGGAAAATACTCATGTGACAGCACTGTCCAAAGAAGAATCCATTGCGTTAGTTATCAGTTCTGGAAGACTACAAGCATAACGTTTAACAGTAAAACATCTTTTTTCTAAAAAGCTATATTTTGAGATTTATCTATGAATTAGACCCGAATACATTATGTTTATAAAACTAAATTGATAAATGATGTATCAGCATGAGTGGCTACAATTCTATTCAAAAGCAAAATAAGTTGTGCTTACACTACCCTCATGATTCTTCCTCTGAGTGGAGATCCTCTACGGTACAAGGCTCTGGTCCAGTGTAAGGAACCATCAGACAGGACATGTCAACACTTATGGAGTGCACCGTCTTTGATGACAATCCAGACAATGCACTAAAACCTCTAATTCTAGAATGATACGAGAGATCGAAAGCTACAGAGTAACTTGACTGTTGTAGAGTGGCAAAGATCAGAGAAGGGAGAGGTACAAGAAAGAACATGGACTTAAAAAAGAGAAGGGAGAGGAACAAGATTATATTATAAGATTGACATTTTTACCCATGCAGGTAACTGATTTACCCACTCATGCTGATGTTGCATGTTTAAGCTCTACTTTAAGAATATAATGATTTTTAGATGTGTCCCAAAAGAGAACTGTTACCTCCAACAATAGTGGGCACCAAAACCACCTGAAAAGTACTAATGGCCAATCCCTGAAGATAAATGTTTAGGTTCTATAATCATACTGTAAATTTGTTTAATACACAATATGACAATTGTTAAAACCACAAGATATGTTGGTATCTAACAAGAAGGTAACTTTTCCTTACAGCTGCATCAACGGGAACAAGCTGACCAGCAAGGAGCTTAGTGAGAAGAGGTGTCATGACTATAGCTCCAATTGTTGAACAACTGAAAGATTTCAAGAGCAATGATTGTTACCATGGTGGCCAGATGTTCAGTAACCTTAATTATTTGCAAGAGCAATTTCAGCATAATAAAGAAAAGTAAACATGAAATTCAGACTAGCTTGGTGTATAAAGGTTATTTCTAGGAATGACAATGTTAACCTGTGTATGGAAAAGATGGAGAATTATCCAAGCATGGCATCCAAATCTTAACACAAACTTAGCAACACATGATGATAAAGTTCCTCATAGAATGTGCATCCATCGATCAAATAAAAGTATCACTAACATAGCAGTTTTCAGTACCCTTAATTGAATCAATGGGTTATTCAGTCTCAGTCAAAGGATTGCACTTGTCAGGAACTATCTTGGCTTTTCAAATAGCAGACTATAATTTTTTTTTTCTTCAGAAGAATTTATGACATTGGACAGTTAACACTCATCTTTCATGATGTGTATGTTTCTCGTACACTGACAATCAGCAACATAGGGGTAAAAACCCACACATCATGGGTGCCTGAGATATAATTCCTGATCAAAAAAAGAAACTATTCACTAGACATAGATTCCCTTAAACACTTAACTTATTTTGTTCGAACCAGATACTTGCTTGTCCTGTGCCCACTCAATAGAGTATCATCAGCTCATGCAGACAATTATTCAAAATCCATTGCAACTTGTACTTCTCTTGCATGCATGGAACTTTATGAACAAAGAGCAGAGAGTAAAGATAAAAAAGGAACAAATGGCCTCATATAGACAACAAAATACTAAACTTTTTTTTTGTCAAATGTCTCAGTGACATAACAACTTGTATAAATTAATTTTGTGCTGCTCATAGGAGCATCAACAGATGTCTTGAGAAAATGGATCCAGTGTCGGACTAAGAGACAATATAGGTTCTTAGATTATTTTGCAGCTCATAATGAGTGTCATCAACATTTTACTCTGGGTATAAGCTATTAGATAGCAACACAGAAAACTTACATTGTCATTAGGACAGAAAGTGCAACATTTCCTTTGGATATATAAGTCGCCACAATGGATGCTTGGCCTCCAGGACAACATGATACAAGAATAAGACCGGTTGCAAGAGGAGCAGATAATTTTAATGTCTGCAGCATAAGGATTAGTGGTATTCAGCACACCTAATTTGATGCAGCACACCAAATACAAGACTAGCCAGACCCAATCTGATGCAGGTTAGCCAAAGACACCATTTCAAGTTGTCATTTGTCAGCAACCTTGATGAAGCAGAGGCTATATAACAAAACTAACTTGTGACGCCATTATAAAACTATGCTGGTCTTAGCTTTTTTAAGTTTTACCATGTTAAAATGCTTTACGTATGTGAACCGCAATATGCTTGAGAACTTTCTTAAATAATTTCGTGACAAACATTCTCATCTTTCCAAAACTATTCAATACGATAGAGGATAATTAAGATAAATTTATTGGTTTAAAATGTCCAGGACGGAAGGCTTTGTGAAGGTTCATTTCTTGCAAAGCTTGAATTTTCTAATGTTCCATTTCAACCCTTTATAAGTTACTGTGTTATTCGGGCCAAATGAAGAATGAGATTATTTAATCTATGCTACATGCTAACTTTTAGTTGCTTATGTTCATTATTAGAATATGATAATGGCTAACTAGTTCAGAAATCAAGGAAATAAACAATATGCTGACTATATGTGGCTTGCTCTAATTCATCTGAGGTTTACTATCAGTTTGCGAGAATAAAACATGAGTTTCAGCTGAGATCAAACAAAAATCTGAAGGATAATCTGCATTTGCGTCATCTCTTGGATCAACCTTTAATGTCTGAAACCATTGCTATAGATGAAAAGGAAGAAAGAAAAAGTGCTGTTTAAACTTAAGATTGCCAGAGATAATGTGTCCATACCATAGCAATAGTGAAGCCTAGCATAGGTTTGATTAAATATTGTGCAAGGAATCCTACACCAACCTGCAAATAAAAGATAAATAAAAGATGTGTGATAGTGAACATCAACAAATAATCTCCCTGGAAGAATCCAAGAATTGGAGCATCTTACCGTCCATGGGTTCCTCAAGCATCTCCTGAAATCCTCAAATGTGAGGGTCAAACCCATGGAGAGCATTAGGAATCCCAAGCCCACAGTGAAAAGGTCTGTTTCCAACCAGGTAACCTATAGATGGAAACTCAGAGTCAAGAAGTTAGAAAGCTATTGTACAAGAAATAAAAATAGGAACATTATATAACACAAAGAACAAAAGCTAATCCAAATGCAAATGGCACTAATGGAGGGAATATATTTTACCATAGATGGCTTGTTTATGCCAATGATAGTGCCTAGCATAACCTGTCAAAGTAAAAGGAGTTAATTTTGATAGCTTCACTCCCTATAGCTTCAATATGAAAGCTGAAAGCAAGCTCAGGAATGCAGGAGAGGAGATTGATGCAGTTTTAAAGAGAACAATTAGATCATACCCAAACAGGGAAAAGAGTGGTAAGTAGCTCAATTATCCTCTCGTATTGGCTCATTTCAGCCACAGGACTATTCAGTATATCCCCAGAAACATTTGCTTCAGCTTTGCACAAAACTTGTCTGCTCCTGAAATATTAGTCCCCAATGAAAAGGGAAACCCAGCATCAAACAGATTTCTAGATTGTAGACAACACTACAGTGAAGCAGCAAAATAATAATGGTTCAGTTCTGATTTTGCATCTTAAATTGATTGTTACCCACATTATTCATAAGGTGAGCTAGATTAAAGGTTACATACCTCAGAACCGGGATGATGGTAGACGTCATCGAGTAAGCAGAGGCATCGTTCCTTCCTCCTCCTCCATTCGGCATCGACGACTCACTCACCAAGACTGCTTTTTGTTCTTCTCGGACGATCGATTTGAAACAGAAGAAACATTGAGTACCATGTTGGTGGCAGCCCAAGACAGAAGAAGACCGAGTTAGAGGGACAGGGGAGCGCGTACCACGACGGGGCTGGGGCCTGCAACGGGCAGGGGATGGCGAAAGGGAGAAGCCCTTGGCGTACAAGGCGGGGCGCGACTGAGAACCGCAGTCTCTATGGAGGATCCGGGAGATGGAGGCAACAGAGGAGGAGGAAGCCGTCGCCGTCGTCGTAGCCATCGATGTAGCGACCGAGTAAGAGGCAGGAAATCCTTCCGTCTTCCGTGGAAGAGAGGAAGGAAGGCCGGAGGCCAAATCAGCGCCCTAGTCTGTCGTAGAGCGAAGAAGGATAACGAGGAAGCCACACGCGTCGTGACACGACACTTAGTGCCAGGAAACGCCGTTCGTCTCCTACGGGTAGCGGTGGTGAGAAATTTAGGGACCACCCCCGTGACCGCCACCGCACGAATGCCACGTTCGTGACGCGGACTTCGATCTCGGCTGCACCAGCGACGAAGTTTTGGTCGCACACCAACGCAACAAAGCGTGCAACCCTCATTTCAGCCATGGCCGCATTGATTGAAGTGTTGTAGGCAAAACTTGCACTATTCCTCTCCTGTAGGAGACCCGATGCCAGAGATAGAGATGGGTGTCAAGAAGGTCCCTGGCCGACCGATCTCTGCGTCGAAGCTCCATCTCGCTGTCACGGGTTGCACGTCATCAGAGCGTCCGTCGCAGCTTCTTCTCCCCTCGCCACTTATCGCTACAGGTGACAGGCGGCTTTGCCGTGGAAGCGAGGCTGACCTTTCCCCCTTCGATCTGCTCCACAGGTCTTATTCGAGCTCATTTCTAACTCGATTGAAATATATAATTGAATCACTCTTAAATCAAATTGAATAGACATAAATACCATCAAAAGATTAATTCTCCTTCATGTTATTTTATAAATATCTTCTGATTAAAAAAATATAAACTAATTAAATTATCTCATATAATTAGATGTTTTTAATATCTCCGTTAATATACTTAAAAAATTTATATTGAAATATATATAGTTACGAAAATGAAATATCTAACTTCATTTTACTTAACGCTATCGATTTTACCGATAAAAGTACGAAAATAATGAGTAAAAAGATAATTTTAACATCTCGATTATGTTTTCGATGATGACGAATGACAATACTGTTATGGCTCATGAGTGACAGTTATGAATGAGGAGAAAGAGTGATGGTGAGAAGTAAGATGATGAATTAGATATCGATACTTTGTATATGTATCGGTGTCGTTTAACATATGCATCTATGTCGATGTAGTTGTAGATCGTTGACATCTATGTCGTCGTTACTCTCCTTTCTCATCCCCAACATTCACTCGACTCGAGTGGCGTCACTCTTCATCGTTACCAAAAATATAATTGAAACATTGAAATTATCTTTTTGTCTATCATTTTTATGTTTCTATTGGTAAAACCGATAATATTAAAGTAAATAAAGTTAAATATTTTATTTTTAATATAAATTATTTAAATATAAGAATTGAGATGTTAAAGTAGTCTAACTATAAAGAATAATATATAATTAGTTCCAAAAAATATATTTTATTCAAACATAGACTTCTAACCTCACTTATTTTGGCTACATGACTATGATCTGCAAACCCAGTCCGATCTAAGCCGATCAAACGCACGAGTTATGAGATCAGGTTGAATCCATTTGCCGAGCTGAATCTGACTAAGGTATCGAAGACAAACCAAACTTCATTATTATGTTTATTTACATAAAATACGTACGTCCATACATAATACTAATACACGTTTCATTTTAGATACGGAACCCGAACCCCCGCATCCAGTAAAATAATAGACACAGATCCAAATCTTTGATCGAAGCATCTGTACACCGTGAAATTAGATTGGATTTGTGTTGGATGCCATCCTACTCTCGGAAGATGGTCAAAGGGGGAATTGCATATTTAGTTTGCAGAAAAGAAAAAGGAAGTCTCCGTTTGTACTACATGTAGTACAATAAACCCCAGTGTACCGCATGCAGACATGTTGGATATTTTGGTATCTTTTGACCCCACATGGATATGGACTTTTGTTGTAGACGATCTTAAATCTGATACCCCTTTCTTTGCTCTTTATTTTATATTTTTGTAATGAAAAAAATATTATTGATTAATGATCATTCGATGTATTCTTCGATATGAAAAAAGAGGATAGATGCTAAGTTATATCTTTCTATAATATTTATATTATTATTTTCTCTTTCTTCTCCGGTCAGTCGCTGTTAGGCATTCGTTCAGAGGAGGAATTCAGTCAGAAACAAAAGGAAAAGAAAATAAGTGTGCACGCTACAGAGAGAAGCAACTGCTTCTGTAATGGACGAATGATCCGATCACAGGAGCAGCCGTGTGATGCCCATATGCTACATGTCCATCGGATCTCCGGCCACCGTAAGGCCGGGGAAGGTTCTCCGGCATTATGTTCTCCAAAGAATTCGCGTGCCAGGGTGGGCACCTCCTCTTGTCGCTCCATCGCATCGCCATCCTCACTTGTGATCCCTCCACGGCTCTCAGCTCTCCGGCCAGCACATTTCCGTCGCCTCCTCCGAGCCCCACGGTGGATCCGATTATGACGCATGCCGCCGTCGCGACACACCGGCTTCGCCAGCTGACCTCCTTCCTCTCCGACCTGCATGCACGCATGGTCTTCTCGTTGACATCAAAGACCGATCGATCCAAGCACATGTGAATGACCTAGAAATCATCTCAGTTACTTACCCTGGAGCAACAGTGCTACTGCTACTGGTCTCGTGGAGAGTTGTGAGCTTGGGAGGAGGAGGTCTGAGGCAGGAATGCACTGAGATGGCCATCGTTCCTTCGATCGGTTCCTGTTTGCAAGGAGGACCTGCGCGTGTTGCGCGTGTGTTTATGGCTGGATTCGATGGCTTTGCGAGGTCTACTTCGATGGTTAAATAGGGATTGGGGACTGAGGACTGGGGAGGTCGACGGTCAGACCACGGTAGGTGGTGGCCGAGGACACCGACGGTGGATCTTGGCAGACGGCACGTGGCCTCGCTCCTCCGAACGGGACGGCTTCTCTTGCTTGCCGTGTAAAAGTTACCCAATGGCGTGCGAGCTTAGTCGACACCTCGGATAATCTGGGTCCCACATGTGAGATATTATTTAATCCGAGAAAGACGTTAACCTCTCCCGTTGAGTTACCCTGATCGTGATTGGAGACGAAGGAGGGGTCCACGGTGGGCATCCAATCACAAGGCCGGGGTATCCAAAGTCGATCCCTGTTCGCCCAGACCAGATCTCATGGGTAACCTTTCCCAAGTCGATGACCTTCGATCGCCCACTGGCCATCAGATCATGATCGGACGGTCAATGGAAGAAGCCGATGAAATAAATGGTAACTGGTCTTCGTTCCCTGGCGGAGAAAGTCCGCACCGAAGAAAGATGACTGCAAGAAAAAACAGCGAAAATTAAGGCGTACAGTAGAAGGTAAACATCGTCGTCGGCGTGGCGTCTGCAAACAGCTTAGCAGAACGCTTGTCTTGGACCCAAGCGAGAAGGGTTGCGCGTGGAACACACCAAGTGGAGAGGCTTGGCCGTACATAAGAGATACGTATCTGACTTGTTCACCTTACCGTATGGGACGAAGTATAAAGATCCTGACCGTCCCTGCAACTCATCTAAGATCTCAACCGTCCCTATCCTTTTTAATCGGGAAACGGAAAAAAAATATTCAGTGATTACAACTAAATTAACGGCCCGTCCTGCAAAGCCCAAAGCCCAAAGCCCACGGGGTTGCTTTGCCTCCATCGGAGACCCGTTTGCCCAGATTCAATATACCTGGTTGGGTATCGTAAACTATAAATGGATCCTTCTATGGGCCGCGCACTCGTGGCCCACGGACGGGCAACCTACGCTGGCTAATTGTGCTTCCCTTGCCCCCCCCTCCGGAATCGCAAAGGATAAGCAATGGCGGTGGTGGTGCACGTAATCTGACCTTTCAACCACCCCAAGCGTCGGCACCCTTGCTCTTCTTCTTCCTGCCTCTCCCTCGTCCGTTCCCACGGCCATGGCGGGTGACGCTACTACCGACCCCCTCCTCCCCCGCGCCGGATTCCGGGGGTGGTGCTGCCCCCGCTTCTCTGTCACGCTGCCCTCCCCGGCCGCCAGCTTCCGCCTCAAGACCACCGTGTGGGCGGAGCTGGGCGGCTCCGTCGGCGACCTCGGCACCTATATACCCATCGTCCTCGCACTCTCCCTCGTCAACCACCTCGACCTGGGCACCACCCTCATTTTCACCGGCCTCTACAACGCCATCACCGGTCTCCTCTTCGGCGTCCCCATGCCCGTTCAGCCCATGAAGTCCATCGCCGCCGTCGCCATCTCCGAATCCTCCGCCCACCTCTCCGTCCCCCAGATCATGGCTGCCGGCCTCTCCACCGCCGCTGTCCTCTTCCTCCTTGGCGCCACCGGCCTCATGTCCGCCCTCTACCGCTTCATTCCCCTCCCCGTCGTCCGCGGCGTCCAGCTCTCACAGGGCCTCTCCTTTGCTTTCTCCGCCATCAAGTACATCCGTTACGACCAGGACTTCGCCGCCGCCAAGTCCGTCGGTCCCCGCCCCTGGCTCGGCCTAGACGGCCTCGTCGTCGCCATCTCCGCCCTCCTCTTCATCGTCCTCGTCACCGGCTCCGGCGATGATCCTCCCCTCCAAGACCCTTCGACTCCCCGCCGCCGTCAGCGCGGCTCCTGCGTCCCATACTCCTCGCGTATCCCGACGGCTCTGCTGGTGTTCGTGCTGGGCGTCGTCCTATGCTTCGCCCGCGACCCGTCCATCTTCGGCGACCTCAAGCTCGGCCCTTCCAGGATCCAGCTCGTCCGGATCACCTGGAACGACTGGAAAGTGGGCTTCGTCCGGGCGGCGATCCCGCAGATCCCCCTTTCGGTGCTCAATTCGGTGATCGCCGTATGCAAGCTCTCCTCCGACCTGTTCCCGTCGCGGGGGCACGAGGTGTCGGCCACAGCCGTGTCGGTGAGCGTGGGGCTGATGAACATGGTGGGCTGTTGGTTCGGCGCCATGCCCGTCTGCCATGGCGCCGGTGGGCTGGCGGGGCAGTACCGGTTCGGCGGCCGCAGCGGGGCGTCGGTGCTGTTCCTAGGGATCGGGAAGGTAGTCCTGGGGCTGCTCTTTGGTAGCTCCTTCGTGCGGTTGCTGGGGGCATTCCCCATCGGAATCCTGGGGGTGCTGTTGCTCTTCTCGGGGATCGAGCTGGCTATGGCGTCGAGGGACATGGCGAGCAAGGAGGAGTCGTTCGTGATGCTGGTGTGCGCCGCGGTCTCCCTGACGGGGTCAAGCGCCGCGCTGGGTTTCGGTTGCGGCATCCTGCTCTTTCTTCTACTGAGGCTGCGGGAGGTGAACTGCCGCGCCCTGCTGCCCTCCACAAACAACGGCGACGGTGGAGGCGACCGCTGCTAGTGCTGGCCAGTGGCAAATCCAATATTATTATTGAACTTCTCATTATAAACTTGCAATTATTGGAATGAATCTTTTTCTGGATTATCGTATATGAATTATCATAAACCTGCGATCATTGAGATTGATTTTTATTTTTTTTGGTGTTATCGTATATGAAAATTTCCTTTTGCATCCATTAGATTGCATGGTTGTTTCGTATCTACATGATGATGATGTGTACGATATGTGTCTTGTGCTAGGGATGAATTCATCCCTTTTTTAGCCTACCATCATCTCTTTCTTGTAATTCTTAGAATATCCTCATCACAAAAAAAAAAAAGAATCGATTTTTTTTATCCTATGGACCCCTGTGGATTTTATTTTTTAAATAGATTTACATTGTTTTGAGTAGAGTTGTCAAAATTATTATACTTCCTATTTCTTTTCTTATTCCTAAATCGATAATGATATTTATATGAATTTTTTTTTATATCGATGACTTGATTTCTATTAGGTTTGGATCTATTTATCTTGATTATGATATTTTTGAATAATTTTGATGAAGATGCTACCGAATATACTATAATCGATATATGTTAGATTATATGATTTTATTTAATTATGTAAGATATATTATTGATATGATTAGATTCTAATTACGGTTGTCGATCAATAAAAATAAAATTCTTTAGAAGATGATTTTGATGGTAATAATTCTCCTAATTACTTAACACTTAGAAAGGGCATCTTAATTATTGAACGTGGATGCCATGATTTTATTGAGAGATTATATATTTTCGTTCGTCTCTTTTTAGTCTCGTAAATAATTGAGAGATTAGAGATATTCTATTTTCTTAAATTAGTTATCTTTGTAGATCAACATCGCTATAATTTTTTATGTTTACAAATTAGATAAAAGCTTTCTAAAGAGTATCGAAAAGATATGCATCATATATTTATTTGATCCATAGTTATTTGATTTTATTTTTTGATATTAAATTTTTTTATACAGTAATATATTATGATTTTTTATGTTAACAGTATATTCATATTTGGTTATTTTTATTCACAAACTAATAATGGTATATATTTAAAATTGTATTTTTATGAGAATTGTGTTCTGTTTTTTTTATTTCACTTGTTTTAATTATAATATTTTGGTGAAAGCATTAAAGATATTATAAGGATATTCAAAATATATTTTAGCTGATATAGAATTATTCATATTTTGTTGTTTTTATTTTAAAAAAGAATACCTATTCAAAATCATAATTTTCGAGATTTATCATTTTCTATTAGATTTTTAGTTAATTTTGCCTCTGTGTTTTAGAGTATGGTTATAGTGTTTGGATGGATATTTCAAAAACATTGACAGTATAAATTATATATATGAAGAATTAAATCGATTCAACGACTCGTATGTCTTGAGACTCCTTTAATTATCTTAATAGAGATATTTTTAAAATTATGATGTATAAAAATATTTTTTTGAAAATATGTAAAAAAAGACTTTTATCTGAAAAAATATTTTTCGAGATTTCACACTTATGTTATTTTATTATTGGTAAAGAATGGCTACGGAATTTGACAGGTGGACTGCTGGTTGAGACGCCGAGACCGCGGCTTTGCTCACGAACCGAAGGCGTGGAGGCCGCGCTCTCGAGAATCCCTCCATCGTCTCCCGTCGTGACCTAAGTGGTCAGTTAAGCCGCAGGGGAAGCACTTTGCTGCGATGGCGTTGGAAGATGGACAAAACCTTATGGGATGCCGACGCGTACTCGCTGCTGAGATCATTGATTGGACCAAAAGCGTCGTTATTACATGGCCAATGGCCACTCCCGTTCCCTTTCGTAGTCGTGACGATCGAAAGGTCGACTGCGCCAGCCATTCGACTAAAGACACGTACAGCGAGCATTACACTTTCACTGATTTGTCGTGGAAAAGGAGTGTTGGAGTTGCTTATCCTGAAATCATTCTTTTTCCACATAAAAAAGAGTTATCCTACGCATCACCTGATAATTTTCGCTTAAGGACAAAGAGGTCGAGAGAGATTTTATTGGGAACCTATTAAATGAGAACAAATCCAAGGAATATTCGTCTCGCAATCGTCATGGATGACATAACCTTTGATTGCTACGTCCTTAATTTAATGGTAACCCGCACAGCTCTGTTGGGGGCGTCGTTCGCGAGGGCCCAAAGCATGTGAGAGTCGAGCATGCTAATAACTACGTTTCAAATCATGCCATGTTCATCATAATTAAAAAACCCAAAATATATTATTCAATCATGTATGTGGCTGTGGCTGCACTTAACTATGTCATACAACAGTGACTGGACAAATTTACATCGTCCAAACAGCATGACTGGATACTAAGAATAATAATACACATGTTTTCCTGTTTCTATCTAATCCAACCATTTTGTTGCTGCATGAGGCGGCGGTGTGTTATCATGCACCAAATTACCATGTTCGATGTGTTCAGAATGAAGCACTTCTTATCATAATGCTTGTAGGGTTTTGGGAGCAACCGATTAGCATTGCCATTCTCAACATGAGGCATGGATCCCCAATGAATTCCACCCAGTGACCAAATGATTTTTGCCATCCACTATTCTCACCTCATGCTTCCACCCCAGTAACCTTCGTCTCTGCAAGAGCAGCTTCCATCTTTGAAATGGTGAAATTGTTCGGTGTCCCTAACTGTAATCTCACGGCGAACAATTTTAGAGATCAACTTAAGAATGCTATGGCAATTCTGACACATATACAAGTTCTTGGTGACCCAAATAGGCATGCCGGGTGTGGTATTGATGAGCCCGAAAGCAACAGCTAATCTTTCACTGTGGCCACAGAAGATATCAGACTTTGATGCTTCCATCTGAGCTATGGATTGATCCTCAGGCAGAGTGAAACCTGCCGCCTTTATCCTATCATACAACCCCTTTAACATTGCATAGATCTCCTTTATCTGCGGGTGCGACTCATCAGAACTGAGAAATGCATGAACAACCCCCTTTACCTCCACCCAACTGCATCCAGGATCCATCTCTAGCCCCCTCTCCCTCATAACCTTCCTTGCTCTTGCCAGTTGATCCCATCTTCCGCTATCAGCATATAAGTTACATAAAAGCACATAATACCCTACACTTCTGTCATCCAATTCGAAAACATGTTTGGCAGCATATTCGCCAAGCTCAACCTGGTGGTGAATTCGGCATCCATTCAGCAAGGCTCCCCAAATGGCAGCATCTGGCTCGATAGGCATATCATTTATGAACTGGTACGCTTGCCCCAGGTACCCGGCACGACCCAAAAGGTCCACCATGCAAGCATAGTGTTTTAGGTTTGGCGTTATCGAGTACTTCCTCTTCATGCTATCAAAATAGTCCCAACCTTGAGATACCATTCCTGACCTACTACAAGCACACAAGAGACTCACCATCGTAACCTCATCAGGATGCACACTAGCTTCTATCATTTGGTTGAACAGTGAAACAGCAAGATCTCCACGTCCCTTCCCTGCATAACCTGTCAGCATGATGTTCCATGACACTATATCCTTCTCTTTGAATATGTTAAACTGTGTCCAAGCATATTCCATCCTTCCACACTTGACATACAGATCTAGAAGAGCATTTGGCAGACACCCCTCATATCCTAATCCGCTTCTTAGAGCTTGGGCATGGATCTCTTTTCCGCACATCAATGCTCCAACAGCAGCACAAGCAGAGAGGGCAGCAATGAAGGTTATGGAGTTTGGCTTCACATCGACATGCATTTGGCGCAAGTAACTCAAAGCCTCGAAGCTCCTCCTGTTGATCCTCAAGCCCGATATCACCGAACTCCAAGTGACCACATCCTTCTCCGGCATCTGCCTAAAAACCTCTAAGGCCTTATCGATGCATCTAGACTTGGAATACATATCAAGAAGTGCATTTCCAACCATGGTGCAAGGCGTGATCCCAATGTTCCTCGCTAGCTCATGTACCTTAGTACCACTATCCAAACGTCCCAAAGAAGCACATGATGAAAGAACACTAGCAATTGTGACCTCGTCTGGGACTACATCGTTCGCTCCCATTTGTTCAAACACTTCCAAGGCCTTATCAGGTGAGCCATTTTTCTCGTAACCTGATATCATAGCAGTCCAGGATACGACGTCCTTAGACTCCTGGCGCAAGAAAATTTTTTCAGCTTCCTCCAAGTCCCCGAGAGTGGTGTACATCTGAATCAACGAATTATGCACCGAAACATCAGTTAGAAAATTCATTCTTATAGCATAACCATGAATCCCCTTCCCAAACTCGCTGTCAGGCAAAAGACCAGAAGCAGAAATCACGCTAGTCATTGTCATAACATCTGGCTCCAAAGTGAGATTCCTCATCGTCAAAAACAGCTCCAGCCCTTCGGCACAATTCTCATTCTCAAAGTAGCCTGCAATCATTGCATTCCAAGAGATACAGTCTCTCCTCGGCATACCATCAAACACGTTTCTGGCAGTAGCACAGTAGCCACATTTCGCGTACATGGTGATGAGAGCATTCAGAACATCAACCTCTGAGCTGAATCCGAACCTGACCACATGTGCATGGACCTCCCTCCCCCTAATCAAGTCCGTGACACCGCCGCAAGACCTCAGAACGCAAGGGAAAGTATACAAATCCGGTCGGGCGCCGGACCAAAGCATCCGGTGATACAAATCCAAAGCCTCATCCAAGAACCCGGACTTGGCGTAGCCCCCAATCATCACATTCCAGGAGAAGACGTCCCTCTCGACCATCTTCCCGAACACCGACCACGCCGACAGGAGGTCGCCGAACCTCACGAACATGCTCAAGAGGGCGTTCCCGAGAAGGGTGCTCAGGCAGGTGATGGAGGAAGAGAAGGAGATGTGGGAGTAGACGCGGAAGCCTTCGTCCACCGCGCGCTTCCATTCGCAGAGGCGGAGGAGAGCGACGTAGGCGTCGTCGTCCAGGCGGCGGCCCTCCGCCGAGTCCAAAAGCTCGAGGGCGCCTTCCAAGTCGCCACGGATGCAGAGGCGGCGGATTCCGGCGTCGGGGTAGGCAGATGCGGGGGCCGGGGCAGGGCTGAGGGCGGAGAGGTGTTGGGAATCGTGGGAGGAGAGTGGGTGCGGGTTCGGGAGGCCGCCGGAGTGGAGGTTGAGGTAATTTGGCCGCGTCGGGTTGGAGAGGAGGCGGAGGAAGTGGTAGTGGTCGGAGAAGAGGAGCGAATTGGGTGGCCTGTTAGCAGAAATCGCCATCTGTGGAGGAGGATGACATGGTTCCGAGGGAGGTTTTAGAGGTCGGGTTTTAACGCTGGTACACGATAAGCGTGCCGGGTGCGAAGAGGATGTAGGTGCGTGATCGGACATCATGATTACTTATCGCAACACGCGGAGCATTTTGATTGGTGTAAGCAGAGGCTGCCAACTCCATCTTTCGTTACTGCATTAACAGACTACGGTCGGAAGTCTTCCCAACGAATGACGTGGCATCACCTTAACGGTTGATTGGAGAGCGTTATTGCCTTACTACGGACGGTGGAGACTATTCTCAACGTTCGACGTGGCGGTGCACTGACCATCCGTGGCCTGCGGGCTGCCCGCGATGGCATAGCTGTTCTCATATGGTTGATTGATGACCTCACCATCATCGCGCATGCCATTGTGCCTATGCGGTTATGCAGCAATTGACGACCACACCGTCAGAGGTCGGCCTTGATCAGCTCGACCTTTGGGACGATGGTAGCACCGTCCTCATCATCAACTACGTCAACACTCTCCATAGAGTTTCCCCCGTCGATGGTTGTCGTATCGTTCCCTTTTCGATTGTGCAACCATCGGGAATCATGGCTTGCGTCATTTAGTTGATATCGATCGTAGCCAATAAATGTCGCAGCCATCGTAATCGTCGCAATCGCCTCCAACCAAGGTAGGCTCGCCACAAGGATGTTGCACATAGGCAGTCATGCATGCAACCACTGTTGGCTGTCACACTCTACGATGCTTCATTTGCATACACAATCACTATTTGTGATTGTGCTAACGACCACCAAAGGTCATCACCCTCAATAATACTATTATTGACAGTAAGTTACTGATAGTAGTCAATCGATTAAACACGAGGAATCTCGTATCGCTCGCAAGCTAATGACATAATGTACTAGAAAAATAGATCGACAACACAAACAGATTATTCAAGCATCATAAATCAAAATAGAATAACACCTTTTTGCAAGCAAAGAATGCGGTGCTAATAAATAGATCTAAATATAAAATAGATTTGAAATACTTTTACGATCTAAAGTATTTGATTTCAAAACATTGCTCTAATACTAATTGTAAGCGTAAAAAAATCGTAATATGCTACATTTATATGAAAAACTTTAATGCTATAAATTGAAATAAAATAATAAAAGATTAAATTTACGATGCGTATCATTTGATGTCATTCAGAAAATCTTTATTTGATCTGTAAGTGCACCATCGTCGAATCTGAAAACTACAATGATACCGACTTGTAAAAAGAACTAGACTCTCATTCTCTCTTCTTATTTTTCATAGGACCATTATGAACGATGAATTATGAATAAAGAAAATTGAGAGAAGATTTATAAACTATCAATAACTTAATATGACTAAGGAGAGATAAGATAAGATATATAATCTCTCAATAATTATGTCATGTATTCATGTTGATTCTCTTGGAGATCTTGTCTATTTATAAGCGAAAGTAAAATGTTTCAGATAAATAATTAGGAGAGTCTCTTCCATCAAAATTATCTCATTATTCTATTAATCAATATCCATTATTAGAATTCAATTATATTTATAATATATCTTATCCATTATTAGAAATTAATTATATTTATAATATATCTTATTTAATTTGATAGGAACATATAATCTAATATTTATATTATAAATAAATTATTTAGATTATATCTTCCTAAAAAGAGTTTCTAAAGAATAGCAACTTTATAACAAACAAGAAACCGACAAACAATAAGTTAGAATCCTAAAAGCCCTTCGAATCGAGGAATACGAGATCGCAAGAAACCCGATTCTTGTAAGATGAGGAGAATCAAAGTCTTCTTCCAGGAAGGGAAGCGAGATAGATCGAGAGTTGACGACAATCTCGAGAAGGAAGCTTCTACGAGAAGGACGAGGTGGAACGGTTCGAATGCGGGGAGGCCTTTTCGATCTTTATACTATTCGTATTACACGTGATACTCACGTTTTGCACGTGTCGGCTACCTGTGGTGGGATGAAGAAGATATAAACAAAAAAAAAAAATCACAGAATTAACATATGAAATGTTTATGCAATCACACACAGAAGGCCGCAGAATTATGCGTGCGCATGAGGACACGCTAGCTCAAGTGATCTTTTAGTTTGAGCCCACCTTTTGGGTTCCTTAATGGGTTAGCAGACTAATCGAGTAGATAGAACCAACTCGAAGCGAATACAAGTGAACAAACACTCGAGCGCAAAATGCTAGAGACTTTATTTCTCCAACAGAATTGGCCATAATTTTTTATCTTCGTAGTCCTTCATGTCCTCAAATTAATTCTTAAGAGATAATTAGTTCTCCTAAGGCTTTCTTTTTTATCAGGTCCCTTTTACCAGTAAATAAGTTGGCCACACTTACCTGCTCTGTCTTCCCCCGTTTTCCCTCCCTCTCCAAGGTTCCAAGTCGGAGCTTTTATTTGTGCCCCTCCCCTCAAGAAAACCTACACTCTCTTGGATTATAAGCAAACACATGGGAGGAGGAAGTATCAACGACACTTCTATGCGAATGCTGCCAGCAAATAAGACCAAAAGCTGAGAACGCATAGTATCGACACCTGCAAGTCGGGCACGGATGAACCCAAGCCCTACAGATGATGAGATCATGGGAGACGACCAAAGCCACCCACCTTTCAAGGAGACGGCCGAAGGCCCCTCCCACCACATGCCAGAAGCTGGGAAGCAACTCAACCTTCCTCAATGAGAATGGTAGAACGGCAGGTTGTGGCCACCGGAGCTCCTTCCTGATTCGTGGGAACAAGAAAAAAGATCATGAGAATGACGACAGGTAATAAATTTGGATTCAAACTATAAAAATGACCTGCTCCAGTTTGTCAAATTTCACATTCCATATGACCAACAATCCTCGACTCAGTCAGACAAATTATTGGTTCCACGACACTCGTGTCAAAGAATCATGACGGGCAAACGATACCTCGGATTTGAACAACCCGACTTACCCGCTCCACACAAACCTTCAAGGCAATTTCCAAACAAACCTTTCACATAATAACGACCGGAGACACCTGCCCCACTGAAACAGTCATTTATTACCTTCCAAGGCAATTCTGCCAAAGGAATCAAACATCTCAAGAATATCCTTCCAGCATAATATACACGAAGCCACTTGGTGCCGAGGTTCTCCTGTTGGGAAAAGCAAATATATCAAGTTTAATACATGCAAACTGATCAAACAAAGAATGCGAGTACTATTCTTTTCAGATACAAATTTTAGTCTAGGCCTACATAAAACTGCAAGATAAACAACCAAAGATGGAGGAAACAATCTCCAGCTTCCCAAGACCGGCTAATTCCTCATTTTAATGGAGAAACCTAAGAATATCATGCATTATACATTTGACTAGAAGCCACAAAAATGGGCTTCTCACCGGTTTCGAGCCAGGATATCACAAGCCCCTCTTCCTAAGTTTCACCCAGTCAAAATATCCTGTAGCAGTGAGCCACGTGACAACGTTTCGAAGCAAACTATGATGGTAAGGGGTCAGAAATTTCTTGGTAGATAGAAGGTTTCTCGTGGATTTAATTCCAATCAGAAAGCAAGGTTATTCTTTCAAATAGCAATACGCCACCAGGTATCTACACTTTTTGTGTCCAAGGTCTAAAGCTCCTAGTTACATTACAAATTCAACTATGTTTACCAAGTGAATTCCAGCATTGGTTAGATAATAGGATTATTGACTGATGCATTCCTCACCGAAGAAACTGCTGATAGGCAGACGTAATAAGTAGTCACCAAACACACGCACACAAAAAATAGAGAAGGTCCTAGTGATTTTCTCAAGTAACACTATGTTCAACAAAATGACAACAAAAACTCCAGAAATTTTAAGATAATAATGTATTACTACCTCTTGTAATAGGTGTAGCCTGCAAAACCGACCCCACTGGCAGCCACAAGCCCAAGAAGAACCAGCAACGCAACCAACCACCCAGACATCCCACTTGGCTTGTCCCTTGGATCACTGCTGCTCATATCTCCACAGGCTTGCTGATTACAAGGCTCCTGCTTAACGGGCTGCAAACAATTAAGAATAGTAATTAGACACAATGCACGAAAAAACTAGCTTACAATACGTTCCAGCCCCTATAAAAAATGCATGTCAATATAAGATTGGTGATTCAGGCCTCAGGTCAAAAGCTTCAAATTGGTTTTGTGCTGTTTTTGAGCTGAAACCTTGTTTTAAGCTAAAAATATCCCGGTTTCTGCCACTTCAAAAATAACTGTATGACTTCTGGTTGAATTTTTGCCATTTTAACCAAAACTCATTAGTTTTTGCTACTTTGATTTTTAGAACAATCAGCAAGTCCAATCATTCACTTACGAACAATTAGCAAGCTTAACTTTATAAATATGACAGGAATTGATAAATATATTCTAAATTTCATCACATGGGATGAAGAAATGATCCAAGCCGAACACATGGTATTTGAATTATATATAATGGAAAATTGCAGGAACTGAAGGCTCAAACAATAGACCTTTACTCAAACAGTGGGATCAGTGCCCATTGATCTCAAAGCTTAATTCTAGTAAACAAGACAGGTTCTAATATTCATATTCTAACAGTTAGTTGAGGAATACATAAGTAACTCCTTCAGGCCCATACTTTCCCTGGCAATGAGTTCATTCTAAGATATTCTACCACCAAGTTCTGTCAAAAACCAAAAGAACTAAGAGGATATTTTTTAAAAAAATCTCTTCATCTGTGGATAGATAACCCCCAGAAGCAACAGCATGGGTGTATTCTAGAAGTTAAAATATAGTTCTTTTTTACTTTGGTCTATGGAATCCAGGCTATGGAACCCAAAATCTTCAGTCACTCAAAGTGAACCTTTTAAGATGGATAACGAAATTATAATATGTAGATTTTGTTTCGAAATTATAAGGAAAAAGTACAACTTAAAGATAAATCATATGAATTGCCTTGCAAACATTATTTATTTTCTTTTTAAAGGACTTTTTAAAAATATACTAAACCATCGAAACAGTCTGTAAGTTGCACTCCAGCCATTGGTCAATGGACAAACAGTCCAACCATTGGCCAATTAATAAATTATAACCTCAAAGGCACATTCTTGGAAGGTTCCCAAATCGAAATCTTGCTATTTGCTAAAAAGAAGTTAGGGACTGCCTTAGTTGTTGTTCTCTTATTCAAATCATGACAAGAGAGAGAAAATTAACATTCATATGTTCGAACTGGGGCAGAACTTCATGGAAGGTTGTCAAATCAGAATTTGTCAGACTGTAATCCTATGAGCACATTCTAAATAGATCCTCAAGTACTTCTGGCTACTTCTACAAAACATGCATACAAAAGGCCATTCACCCTTTGATCGATCCAATTCATATGATGTTAAAATGACAAAAATAAAAGTCACCAGAAAGCATCTTTTGACTCACCATTTGTTGATCTGAACACCTACTATCATCCACTGGGTAGTGTTTAATGGATGAATCATCAGTACTTGCATAACAGCCAACATCTCTGTACCGAACTCCACCATCACAAGGGGAAGAACATTTCATCCATGGCCCAGCAACCCATTTAAAAGCTTCTGAAATTTGTAGAGGTATTAAGTTGCATATTCATGATGGGTAAAATCACCTTTATTATAATTAGCTTATCAGACATGTAAAAGGAAGTAGATTGTATACCTTTCTAAATGGAAAACTTAATTATCAATTATTATATACCGCTACCAAAATTGAAATCTTTGCATCTGCTTGTTTACTATCAATCCCATCATGGTGACACAAAAAAAGAGGATAAGAAATGCAATGATAGCTACCATGTGGTTTCAATTGCACAGCCAGCTCTGCACCAGTCTTACAGTAACCCAATTTCGTGTTCTTGTCTATGAGGTAAGGATCTGAGCAGTCCATGCAGCATATGTATTCATCACCAAAATCTAACTTGTTCTTGCATCTTGTGCACCTGTTTGTTATCCTTGGGTTCTCTGCTCAGAAAATAAGGATCCTTTAGAACAAAGCAATCTTCAAAGTTCAAACATAAAATCCATCTACCAATTACGGTTGCTTAAAACCAAAGATGTTAACTAGAAAATATATCTACGTTTTAGATCTCTGTCAGGAGTCATTAATGGAAAAATTGACCATAGGGTTGTTTACTAGGAGGCAAGCACAGATAATGGAACATTCACATTCAAGCAAGGAAAACAAAAAACAAAAAAACAAAGAAAGTGCATGCTTTCTGGAGAACTTCACTGGTTGGACAAGCATAATATCCATTGAAGTCTCAAGTAGAACTTCACTTGTTGGAGATGATGTCATCTAGATCAACGTCTAGAGCACATGTAACACCCCATTAGTTCCACACGGAAATGCTACACATGCATTTAGTGACTTACAACTAACAAGTTTATGTGTTCTCAACTAGTGTTTGGATAGGCCTCACTCCATTGAAGCTGTTGGATAACCTAATATTAGGGCAATTTTGTGGACCTTTCCATGTGGACCGACAAATAAACTGAGAAGTGTGTTTCTTTGGTTGATCCAGCACCAATACCTTAAATGTAAATTCCAATATGTACACCAATCCATGTAGGGTAACATGCACCAAGATGTGTGCTTCCTTAAGTGACATCAAAATATCGGATATGGATGCTAGGTTACATGGAATGGCTACTGTAACACACCGATTAGTCCCATATCAGAAGTGGACAAGACTAAGATTGATTCATAAGGGTATGATGGGGGTATTACTATCAGATTCAACTTAAACATTGTGGCCACTGGTTTGGGCTCAATGAAGTTAATAGGTTCGTGACAATTAGTATCAGAGCTGATATAGTATTAAGGCATGGTGAAAGGCTTGAGTAGGAAAAGACTAGACACTGACCTAGTATTGAGGCATGGTGAGAGGCTTAAGTAAGAAAAGTCTACCCGTGAACATGGTAAGAGGACATGTTATGGCGTGGAGCTGCCATTGAGCTAAGCTAGGCCTTGATAAGGACGTCAAACCCTAAGTGGGAGAGTTTATAACACTCTAATTAGTCCCACATTGAAAGTTAACAAAGCTAAAATTGACTTATATGGGTCGGGATACTACTATCAAGACTTGCTTAAGAAAGGTTGTGACTCTATGAGGATATGGATATGTGATCTAAGTGACAAGATTGATGTGTATTTTTTACTCTATAAAATCGTATGTTGTTGATTTTAACTAAAATGCATAAATAAAATGGTTTTGGATCTCGTTATCTATCTAGTGGACAATACTCATCCTTACAACGAATAAGCGATAAGAACTTCACAGCAGTCGAAGATATATTATTTCTTTTGAGTCAAGGACAGAATTACACATCAGTTCACCAAACTAAGAGAAGTGAAGATATTTGCAAGCTAAGTGAGAAATTTATCAAAGAATAAGAGGGCACAATCTAGAGTTAGGTATTACAAGAAAATATCACAACTTGTTTAAACATTGATGTGACATAAATGATAATCCCAAGTTCAGGAAATTAGACATATCTTTATGCGAGAGAAGACAGCATATGTACACCTTGTCTGATTAATGCCTCCTATCTCAGTTCAAGATTAAACAAGTGAAGTATGTTGTGAACTATTCCCAAATGTCAAAAGAAATTGCTCAAAGTGCAAGCAGATTGGCATGATGATGATTTCAAAGTACAAACAGAAATACTCTGCGTTCATTTTATACTTTAGAGAATCTGAAATTACATCATATAATCACAGATGTCTAAGAAAAGGTAGTACATGAGGCCAGACATGGACACTCAAACATAGATGTTCTTCTTTCGGGTTGTATTCAATCGATTTCAAGTCAGAAGGTGAACTACTTAACCAGCATGCTTAAAAGTTGGAAGAAAAACTGTAATTACGTGAATATGGGATCATTGTACAGACAAGCTAAAATAACATGCCAGCGAGAAAAACTGTTATCCTCTAAAACTTGAAAATATGAGAATAGAAGGACGATGATACCTGGTTTACAGCAGTGAAAATGTGTATGGAAGGGAAGGCATGGTGGAGAAGCTGATTCCCCACAAAGACCATTGCAGTTATCTGACTGATCAGCTACCACAAGTCCGGCTCCACATCCACCGAGCCAGATGCTTTGACACGATTCAGTCCAGAAGCACCCTGCAATTCACATAGAGAACACATATGCATTGTTGACCTGCCAATATATTTCACCAACTTATAGAACAAAATGAACATGTCATATTTGTGTGTGCATATACTGGTGGAAGCAATAACAAAAATTACAAGAAAAAAGATAATAATATCCAATAAAGCTCTCAGCGTTTCAACCCACTAAATGGCCCTAGATCAATGAAGTTATACAATCTATCAAGACCTAAGTTTGACAAAATCCTCCACAAAATTCTATTGCTATGTCAGTCAATGTCAGGGAGCCTGATAAGCTGTAATGGAACATGGGGGTACCACTCTTACAGGCTTCGGTTTCACCAACTACACCATGCCGACCATCTAAAAGAACTAAGATTTGCACGCTAAGTTTTTAGAATAACGTGGAAACGAAGCTAGTAAACCCCCTCCCAACAGAAACATGAGAAAAAGAATATGCTCTTCAATCAAAGCTCACAAACGCATTCCAATCCTGATGAACATTAGACCCCAATTGAAACAAAACGACTAATTACGATAGACTGATCAGTTATCTCAATAGGTGGAACAGAAACAAAATCACATCAAGCACAGTGGAATATCCGAATAAATTGAGGACCGATCGAATAACAGCCAATAATTAGCAACCAGATGAGCAGAACAAAGACCAGTAAGTGAAACGGAATCCTAGTCTCGAACATCATACTACGTGATCGATCCCGAAATGAGAGACTAAAGAATGATAATTCAAGAAACGAGACGATTAGGGTTCGAGGGGTTACCATGCGAGGGAAGATGGTCCGCAATCGAAGGAGAAGGGTGAAGGATTAGGAGGAGGAGAAGGGGGAGAAGCGGAGGGAGGAGGAGCTTAGAAGGCGGCATCTCCTCGCCTATCGGCGTCGACGCACACGCCACCGACGCGAACCCCCTCTTTCTCGTACGGGCTGGCGTGGGGTGGTACGCCGAGAGCTGTCTCGGCGAAGGCAGCGCGCAGGAAAACCGAAGGCAGGAGACGAAGCAGTTCGCTTGGGTGAGTGGGACCCATCCACGACGTGGACCGCGTTCGTCAGGTTGAGCGATCGCCTTAACGTCATCGGCACGGGACCCACCGCTCGGAGTGCTCTAACAATGGATCTCTGCCGTCCGACCCACGTCCATCAATCAAGGTATTTTACTCGTTTGTGAATCGCAAAGTGCAGCGGAAGCGGATCACACCCAATAGAGGATCCGAAACCCGAAACGTTGATTACGACGTTAATATTCGTGCTGGTCACACCAAGTGGCCCGTTGCGTTGCAGCCCACAATTTAACGAAGAAGGCTGTCGGCCCACTTAGATGGCATCCCAATCACCAGTAGTCGGTAATCGTCCGAGCTTCGTAGGCTCAACATAATAGACAAGCTATCGGTATTCCACTTCTGGATGGGGCATCTCTCCTCCTTTTGGTGCGCACCCACCGCCACTGCAAGCGTTAAGAGGCCGAAGGAAAGCCCGGAGGATGGCTCGCGCGTCGCCTGCAGCCTAAACGGAGCATCGTCGATTTGTGTGGTAGTCCATAAAGCCTACCGCATGTGGTAGGCATATGCAGGGAAGCTGCAGCAGCTTTCTCTGATACCAAAGATGGCGACTACAAGCATTTCACCTTCCAAGACGCGACGTGGATTCTGCCTTTCACACAAGGAAATTAATATAGAAGAGATAGAGGAGGAATAGATTCCGAGCCCATCATAAATAGGTTATCACTAGTAGCCGAACCAGTTTGACTTCTGCATCCCTTTTTGCTTGGATATTGTTGTTTTCGCAAGGATTCCTTGCTCCCAAGTGCAGGTCAACAAGGAGCAGTCGGGGTTCCGTGGGATTGCCATCGCAGTGCCCACCTTGCCTGCGCAAATATGCATATGTAGAATCAGCATTCATGCGAGGTATCAAAGAAAAGTTCTTTTCTTTTCCTTCATTCTTTTTCCAGGAGTGTCGACGTTTTTGTCGTTATGCAGATGCAACAACTGCTTCCGGGTATATTGCCCGGTATTCCAAACCGGATTAGGAGGAGGTGAATGAAGAATTTACTGTGAAAGAGTGAGTTAATACGTATTTATAAATGTTGTTAGAGAGAGAGAGAGAGAGATTTCTTTAAATTATATATTTAAATCATATATTTAAGTTTATGATTGATCCTTAAATCATATTGATGATTAAAATATATAAGGAATATAAGATTATCATTTTATATTTATCTATATAATGATCTATTATATTCCTGTAAGATTGAATTTTTTTGTCAATGATGTTAATTTTGACTTTACTAGTTCGTCAAAAGTATGGACATGAGAAATATGTAGTTGACATTTGATAATTTTATTTCTAATAAAGTATAAATCGATAACAAGAAAACTAGGTTGGCGTATAAGTAAGCGGCACAGATGTTATCATAGTATATTGTAAGAGTGGATTATGAGATAATATCAAGTTCATATAATAGATTGGTAACTTAATTGAATTGGTAGGGATGGCTCGACATTCAACTTTAGTAGTGGATCTTACGATTGTGTTTTGCTTCTTGAAACTCCAACTAATCAGATTTGCTCCATGGAAGATAATGTAGGCTGATGTAGTGTTGTTTTCCTAATTATAATAAAAAAAGACATGAAGATGAAATGATGAGTGTTTACGAAAAAAAATTTGTAATTGAGAATCCATTTAAGATATCGCAAAATAAGTTTTAGTACAAATCAATGTATAATGGAAGACTGATGCATGAATTATGATAATTTATTAACTACAAATGAAATACCCGGACATGTAAAAGGTAAATACTATAATGAACCAATTATTTGTCGTAAGAGATCCATAGTAGGGTTATCATCATCTAATTTAAGTGACTCAATTGTAGAGGGTAATGTGATAATTTTTTAGCATTCTTCGTATTCATCTTTAGTAATATATTTCGAATGTACTTCTTTTGAAATAGAAATAGTCTAGAAAATGTGAACGTTAATTCTACTTTTAAAAAGTTGCTTAAGGTTCTTAGGTCCTTGATAGAAAATCGATCTGTCAATTACTCAAGGATTGTTTGATCTCCGTGGAATTATTGTCTATGATAATAATGACATCCACATAAACCAAGCACCAAAGAATATTATGTTCGAGGGAGTACCTAATGAAGATGCAAGACTTAAATTTTGGTATTAACTTGTATGAAACGTAAAGGCATAGCTAGGGACAATATAAATAATAAAATACTTTGAGTTTATAAAGATATCAAATTTTATGAAATAGTTTTTCAAATAATGAGTAGTGTTGTAAAAATAGAATAAGTATACGGTTAATGAGTAGACTATAGTTTGAAATGTTGCTAACTAAAAGATTAGTGATGTAGATGCTTAGTGTAGAATAGTGAGACCAGTCTCAACTAAATGTCAATGCTTTCGCTGGATAGACCCAACTAATTGAAGTGCATATGGTAATGACCTGAGATGTTATATACCACAATGAGAGATAAGTTGTTAGGGCTTGAAAGAATACCTTCTTCATCAAAGTAAATTGTTTTAATAGTACACTAGAAGAAGTTCTCGACCAGCTTTCTAAAATGAGTAATGACTATAGTGACTTTAGATTTATATTTGAATGATAGAGTTAAGTGAAGTAATATATGAAAATAACATAAAATCTAAAACTATCAAAGTGGTGGAGGTAGAGCCCTAGACATCAATGTAAATGATTTTAAGTATTTTGATGCAGGAAGATGTTCTAAAAGATAGTTTGTGACTTGTATTACTAAAGTAAGTATCACAATGAGTTTTAATTCTAATTGATTTGAAGGTTAGAACGAAGTAACAAAAAATTAGCTATTATTGAATGGAAGATAGCAGGTGACCAAGGTGACGATGTCATACATCAATTAGGGCAATAACTAAATCAAAAGCGATTGGTTAGGTATTTTATGAAGCTAATGACTATTCGTAGATATAATCTTTATTCTAGCCTCAAACCAAAAATTAGTCAAAAAAAACTCAATAGATTTGTTATTTTATTTACAAAATTAATAGATGAAAATAAGATTTTTTTTTATGTGAGGTGCATATAAAACATCATCGAGTATAAAAGTATTTATGGATGAATTAAGTATTATGAAACCAGTATTGTGAGTGATAGGGATTTCATCATGTCACCAATGATGCTATCTTTACTGCCTTAATAGTCAATATGGATAGAAAAATTTTATAAATCAAAAGTGATATAATGAGAAGCATCGAAGTCAACAATCAAATTACTTTAAGGAGAAAGACATGTCGAGAAGATACTATAATAAAATAAGGAAAATCCAAAGTCAACTGATAATTTGGTTTGGATACATAGATTTTGAAGATTTGATCTGTTGGAGAAGATCAAATCTAAAAAGTGTACATTGGAAAATTTGATCTAACAAAGGAGATCAAATTTGATGAGTGCACAAGGGAGGATCAGATTTGAGATGTGTAGAAAATGTTGATCTTTTTCGTTCTCTCCTGAGTCATTCTCTCGATCATGAGTTCTGATGACATAGTCGAAAGGATGGTGGTAAGCAATGGACTATCGTCGAGACGTCGATCGTGGATTCGAGGCACTAGTGAGTTTGGCGATTAACGAGCACGGGATGAGGATGCCAGTAAATATGTTGAGTAGTAGATAGGAGCAGAGGAAACACCCACTAAGCAGAACTGCATAGCGATGAAGGATTACCAGAGAAGCTAGTCGATCAATAGAGGAGGTTGATAAGATCAACAAAGTAGAGAAGATTTGTTGCAAAACATATCACGCCAGGAGATTGGTGGGGAGGAGTCACAAGTCTTCGTTCTCGATGTAACACTATAATATAAAAGTAGAAAGTGTTATAAATTAGCAATAGGGTAGACGAGGAAGAGGAACAACAATCGGTAGTAGGGCAGAGGAAGAGAGAGCGAGAAAGGAGTCTTGCTTAAAAGCAAGAAGGCTTTGATACCATGAAGAATTTATTGTGAAAGGAATAATTAAATTCATTGAGATAATACATATTTTATACGGAGGGGAGAGATTTTCTTCAATCATATGCTCAAATCATATACTTTAATTTATGATTGATCCTCAAATCATAGATTGATGGACGATTAGAATATGTAAAGAATACAAAGTTCCATGTTTACCTATATAGTAATCTTCTATCAGTAAGAACCTAGTATGATAAGATTGACAACCCGCCTCAACAAGTAACATGAGGATGTTACCTTAGCAATACCACTTCGACTTACAATAGGTGGATATCGACTCTTAACATATGGAATATGAGGTTAAATCGTAAGTCCTGAATTTAATGCATCTGTCGCTCACAATCGGATGAGCCGTAGATTCATAATTATGTATCCGATTCTTCTTGCGACAATTTAATGCCTCAAACGTAGTGTAAAAAACCCAGGCACGTTTGCTCGTGAGTCCTCAACTCAAGTCAATGCATCTATTGCTCACAATCAAATAACCAAGAGATTCATAACTATATCTTAGAGCTCTCTAACGCTACCCACATAATATTGTAAGTGAATGGAAAAGAGGAGATCAAACATTTCATAGTGACTCCATCGTTCTTTTGAGTTACGGAACGTAGGGGCAGGCGCTTCCACCTGGGACACCTCACTTCACCGGTGAAGATGCATGAAGAGGACCAGTCTTTACGCAAAAGAGACTTCCCTTTTCTGAAAAAGAGGTCAATTTATTACTCCCTTATGAGCCCAAATAAACGTCTCGTATTTCTCTTTCCTGCTGGATCGTAGTTCCGATGACAACCGGGACAAGCATCTTCTTCATCCAGCTTGATCTCATGGAGGGGGCCAAAACACAACCCAATCCACCTTGCATCATACATCATCACTCTGTTGGCTGATGAAGCTGTTAACGAAGTGAGCCGTCCCTTGTATAGAATTGGCAGAAAGCAGAGATGGTGGGAAGCAAATATCTGACGACAGAGGCATCCTTACATGCCTATCTTCTTCGGGTCATTGTCATGTAAGCACTTGGAACTAGGAAAGCACGCCGCACTCACCCCATTTCCTTGCCCTTGTGTTACTTCATTTGATTCTCTCCTCTGCAATCAACGAAAACCTCTGATGGCTCGGTAAAAGCACAAGCTAGAGTTCACGGTAGAGATCGTTTTATCTGGAGACAAGTGTTCGATACTACTCTTGTAGGAAACACAACCGATCCGGGAAGAGTTACTCGATGGGTTATATTATTGTACAAAGAAAGATATGCTGCTGGTTCCTCCTCCACTTCCGTCTCGGAAGCATCGATTCCCGGGAGCAAATCCTGCATACCCACAGATTCTCTGCCTGCAACAAAGAAAGCTTCACTGACCTTTCTGCTATGCTGCTTGTCCCTCTTTCTACCCCGGTCTATAGGCCTTTCCGAAAGAACAGCTGCGCAGTGAAAGGCAGGCACTGTGCTGGGATGCGGATTCCTTGGTTTCCTTCCTCTACCATTCCACCAGCCACGCACCGTTATAAATAGAGGTTAATCGGGCGACTCCTCACTGCAGCGGAGCCTGTTGCAGCATCACCGGCACTTCCCCGCACAGGGTGGGTGGTGATCCAAATGTACCGCGGCGGCAGCTCGTATGCCTCCGGTCGGCCTCCTTCCCCTCTGCGTTGTCTCGCTCCGCAGCCTCGTCCATGTTCTCTTCCACGTGCATAACGCGTGCGCATCGAATGCAGGTTCGAGGTCTGCGACCAGGAGGCATGTCGACTACGGGAGGACTTATGTTGTCCGGCCCAAGGGCAGACATCGGGCCACCATCGTCTGGCTTCACGGTTTAGGAGACAATGGCGCAAGGTACGAGCTGCTGCTCTTCTTTTGGCTGCATCAAATGCAAATTACAAGGCACTTTTTGGGAACGCAGCCATAGATAGGATTTATTCCCTTGTTGATATAAAATGATTACGATGGTTATATTCTGGTGCCTTCCCTGCACATATTCCTAGTATTGCTTTACCTAAGATGTCATCTCTGTATTCTCATTTATGGCATAAAGGAAAGACAGGGAATGGAAACAGGTGGCGAATGTCAATGCACTATTAACAGTCGGGAGGGAACAACTCTTTAGCCCCTGTCAAATCCATGCAAAATTCCCACACCAAACAAATGCTCTTGTCATTCTCAACCGAATAGTTTATTCGAGGTTTTCATTGTTTATGGATCACATTCACGAATCAGAAATAACAAGTTAATCGCCTCAATTAATCATTGTGATTCTTTGAGATTGTGCTGCTTTCTGCTTCACGTTTTGATGGCTAAAGTACATGGGAGTCCAACCAAACCTTGGGAAGAACCATTCCGATTAGCATAGAAAACAACATCATGCAGTTCTCTACTGCTATATTTGGCAATTGTCTTGTTATTTCCTTTTTCATGGGGAGATGTGTTCTTGAGGAACATAGGTATCATTAGATTTAGTGTTTTCGGTTGATTATTGTGGAAGCTACAATGATGTGTCTAATTACATTGAAACTGTAGGCTGTCAATGCAGTTCTTACGCAAATAGCAATTCCACTACCTGCATGAATTCACCTTCTACTACTACTTCTTCTTCTTCTTCTCTTTTGCAGCTGGTACCAGCTCCTGGAAACTCTTCCTCTGCCAAATGTAAGATGTGTAAACATGGTGTAATCACTCGTTAATCATTGGCATCCTTGTTCTTTGCGGTTCCTTTGGATTTCGATGCATTTATCCTCCCTGTCTACTGGTAACTTGGTAGTTCTGTGAGATGGTTTCGGTAGCTAATTCCAACACGAATGTGTGCCATTGCAGATTAAGTGGATATGCCCCACTGCTCCTACTCGACCTGTGGCTCTTTTCGGTGGATTTCCATGCACTGCATGTAACTCCCCATGATTTGCTTAGCATTACTCCATCTTGACCGATCTTATATGACCTCCTCTGTTGTGTTCCACGCAGGGTTCGACGTTGCGGACCCTTCACAGGATGGCCCTGATGATGCCGATGGATTGGAAGCTTCAGCAGCACACATCGCAAATCTTTTGTCGTCTGAGCCAGCTGACGGTATAGCTTTTGATGTTAGCATCGTTGTACTGCTGGTTAAGTATACTCTGGGATTGATTCCTCCCTCCCTCCGATCGGTACAGTAAAACTTGGAATCGGTGGGTTCAGTATGGGTGCCGCGACTGCCTTGTATTCTGCTTCTTGCTTCGCACACGGAAGATACGGAAATGGAGGCCGATATCCCATAAACCTCAGTGCAGTCGTTGGTCTCAGCGGCTGGCTTCCCTGTTCCAGGTCTGTTCCATCGCGAGTCAACGCAATCCTTGGATCTATTTCTTCTTTATTATTATTGCTGTGCGTGAATCGGAGGCATAAGAGTGCTTGGTCATTCTTCATCCAGGAGCTTGAAGACCAAGGTGGAAAGCTCACAGGAAGCTGCAAGGCGAGCTGCCTCCTTGCCACTTTTGCTCTGTCATGGAACAGGTACCGTACGTAGCATTTACCTCGTCGAGATTGTTGGCTTTTTGATTTGATCCGAGGAGCGTTGAGCTTCTCTGTTTTGTTCTTGCGCTGGTTATGGCAGGGGACGGAGTGGTTCCCTATAAACAGGGAGAAAGGTCTGCGGAGACGTTGAGGATGTCGGGGTTTCGAAATCTCACGTTTAAGGCCTACAATGGGTATGTTTCTGCCGCAGTTTCTCGACCTTAGGCCAACTATCATGCTTTGCTTAGCTTAGCTTAGCTTACGATTCGGAACAATGCAGACTCGAACACTATACGATTCCGGAGGAAATGGATGCCGTCAGCAAGTGGCTCACCGCGAGGCTGCGGCTCGATGGGTCTCGCGCTTGACGACGGGACGTGCCGTGTGCGTCCTGCGATCGCATCGAGGCGCGGCTATAGAAAGTACACCTAACTCACCCAGTATGCGTATGTGCTCAGGTGCTCGTCGCGGCGATATGTGCCGTGAGAGTCGAGTGTGTCTTGTGATAGCCTTGTCTCCCTTTGGCCTCGGAGTGGCTTATCAGCTTGTTTGGTGTACATTATCTTCCTTTCTACGAATGAATGAACAGAGTCTAATTACTTTTGTGGTAATCGTTTCCAGTGTACGGTAGAGGGTGGATTCGTCGTACATCTTTTTTTTTGTGTGCTACGTGGGCAGCATCTGATCAGATCAGCTGCCAGCTAATAAATACTTTGATATAAATATTAGCAAGGGAATGTGTCTATGTAGGATGGGGAGGTGGTTGATGTCATGCAATTCTATGTGGAAGCTTGAAGAAGAATACTCGAGAGATACCATTCCAACAAGTGGCCTTTCCGAGAAATATATCTAACTCTCGGGCATGTTAAGATCAAAAACAAGTCTGCACTAGAAAGGCCAGCAAAATGTCTATTTGTTGCTTCGTTCTATGGTTGAGTAACCACACACATTGAGGTGCATCTACCTACATGCATAACTTGTTTCCAGAAGAGAACAGTGCGTGTATGTGTGCATGTTAGTAACGAAAAGTAATCTGGGTTACTTTGTACGCTATAGCATTCCTGCACGTCCTCGTTAAGAGTATAAATATGATGTTAGAGTATAAATATGACATAACCATAAAAGAAGAGAATTCATGATTACCTGGTATAAAGAATTGATATTGCGGAGAGATGACAGTGCTGCACAGCGAGGACCCATACAGGTCGATCGGCACCCACTTCATAGGAAATAAGCCATTTTGCTCGGCAAGTCAGCGTCGAACACCACGGAGCCATTCCGTAAGACTCGGAACGACACCGTCCAATGTCAACCTGTACGAATCAATTGGTATTTATTCGTAGGGTACAAGTCATCTTTCCGACAGCTATTAAAGGACTACGTACGATCGGCCATCTCTTCGCATGTATAAAAGCTAACTCTCTGACCAACGGAGGGGACTTCGAACACTCAACTCTCTTTTATTCCACTCAACTCTAACTTAAGCTTTGGAGGGGTCGAATCGAAAAATCTCTCTCCTGACCTCAGCAACAAAAAAGCAGACGATGAGGTCCATGAATCAACCTGACCCGACGCTCATTTCTGCCACCCAAGTCTTCACATGGGCAACCTTACACGTCCGGGCTCAGATCGAGATGCGTTGACTCCTCGGCCATGACGTAAAAATTCACAAACACTGAGTGTCTTCCATTAATGGCTGAGTCATTAATGGATTGTTGTGTCTTCCATTAAGGTCTTCCATTAAGGTAGATTTTGTTACTCAAAGATTGTTGTGTCAAAATATTGATACCGTTACACAACTGAGATCTTTCTTTGTGGTGGTAGATTAGATCTAAAATCAATAATGGACCAACTGATACAACCTATTTTCTTACCAATCTGCCTTACATATTCCACGAAGAAGCAATATGTGATGCAAAATGGAAGCTATGAGATTTCGTTGGTTTTTCTTCTTTTGCCCTTTCTTTTGGTTTAACAGAATGATCAGGAGATGATTTTTTTTCTTCCTTTTTATCTTCATTTTAGATGTCATGCAGATGTTCTTGAACCATCCCAGGAAGATATGTAGAGAACTTTCTCAACATACGTCGGTTCTCCAATCATCTTTGTGTAAGATTTTATGAGGCACTGGACATGGTTGTCTTATTACTACCTGGTTTTAGGTTTTCCACCTCGCATGGAAAAATTGGAACCCAGAGAACTTGCCATCCTTGCTTTTTGTAGAAGCCACTTTAGCTCCATTCCTCCTCTCGATGGTTTTCATCTACTAAGCACAAAAGCTCAAAGAAACTCGGTTTCTTCTTACAAAACTTCAACCAACATTCTCTCTACCTTTCAGTATTATTTGACATACTGCCCCTTAAACCTTTTTCTATTTGAGATCTTAATGTTTACTCGTAGAGGATTCTATATTGGTTGGTAGAATAAATGGATATCGGAAAGAGATTCTGGCTTGTTTAATGAACTGGTAACAATGAAAGCAAAGGAAAACGAAACCTTTTCATCCCTTGCATACAAACAGTCCAATAATCTCAGCTGGCTCCGGTGTGGATTTGCTATCTAATCTCTCATCATTCAGCAAGTCTAAGCTTGAAAGCATTTCCTCCATAGTATGCTCGTCCGTGTTAGATTCTTCTTACCCTGTTTGTGCATTATGTCCGAAAGTAGATTGTCGATTAGACGCCTACTACGAACACAGATTTCCTAATGGCCAATATTCGCAAAAGAAAGCTATTGTACCGATTATACAAGTTAGTTCAGCTATGAACATTGCTTCATTTCTTGAACATCTCGAAACAGATGGCTCTCCGAACTGAAGAACGAAGGGCCAATGGGCTCTTCATTCAGATGCATGGAGCATGCAGCTGCGCAACAGAAATCGATTGTGTGCATGGCTTTCACAAAAGAACCTCCATCTGTATTCAACTCATTTCAATCAAGATGACTTCGGGGGTCGGAGATAGGGCAGAAGGAAACAGTGACCGAGCAATAGTGATATTACCGCCGCCAAGGGAAGCAGCTACGTCGGTGGCGGCGAGAACGACTGACCAAAGCGGTGACTCCGGCGGCGACGGGTTTGGTATCGGGGCGTAGGGGCATGGTTACTGATGTGGACCCGGTCGGATCGGGCCCCGTGTTTGTGTGTGTGTATATATATACATATATATATCACTGTGGAAAGTAAGCTGACATAATGCATGCCAATTAAGAAACAATCAAACCAAATTAATACACATAAACAGTGCATCTGTTCATCTCTTTCTGACTGCATTGTTGTAGTTTGACAAACAAAAATCACATTTATGTTTACAAGTGCATAATTTAATAGCATATTTTGCAGTTACAATCTGAAGCAATATCTTATGTTTAGTGTGCTAACAGGCCATATCATAAACTGGCATTCTATATGCACAATGCACTTCCGAAGACACTTGTATCATCTGCACTTACTGTTTGTCTTCTTCGGTTGATGTAGCCCAGAGGACAGTGGCTCTGACCAAAGCATCCATGGGGTCAACACATTTCCCCAGCAGTGGGTCGTCCGCGGGTAAGAGTCCATGCATGTAATCAGAGACAAGAATAATGCTACTGACAGCCCTCACCAGAAGAACTTGAATCGATATCCTCAACAGATTTCTTGCACCTTCCATGTCTTCCCTGTCGAATGCCTCCCTTGCAGGGATGACAATGTGCTCCATGGTTGCTTTGTCGGGTAGCAGCACCTCGAAACCCTGCACAAGGTCATGTTAAAGATAACAGTGTGGTAGCCTCAAGAACATCCAAGAGAAGGAGAATGTAACTGCTCATGTCATCTGCGTATGCCATCGGACACAGAAGCATCATTTCTGGTTTGTACATCTCTTCATCTTTCGGTGGCAATCGTGTAGCGATGGCTTACCTGGTTTTCGAGTTTTTGCTGATACAGCCGAGCCACGATTAATGCGTCCATGGCAAGAATTCCTATGCGAGCGTTGCTTCCCATTTCAACCGGCTTCAGGTTTGCTGCTTTCAGTTCCTTGGCGACACAGTCACCGGCGTCGAGGAGTGGCACAGAGCACCCCTCGGCGATCTCATCGCGCCAAGCGTGCGCGACGTGGCACGGCATAGCGATGCAACGAGCTCCAGCCCTCTCCAGGAAGACCCTCTCCCGACGGAGATTCTCCACGACAATAGAACCAGCAGATTGCGTGCAGCAGTCCCAACCGCTCTGATGCAGAGCGAGCTCTCGGTTCAGCACAGGGTTATTGCAAACGACAAAAGGGGGAGTCTCCTGCCCATCCGAGGAGCTCCATTGGACGAGCTTCTCCAAGAACCTGAGGGTGGAAGCAGCTGAAACCCCACCCAGGACACCCACAGTGTTAGACAAGTCCAAGAAAGGACCGTTGTACCCATTCCCCGAAGGAGACGAAACCGGCTCAGGCTTCCCAGAGGTGGACGATGTAGAAGCTGGTTTCGGAGCAAGAGAAGAGGTAGAAGATGGCCGAGATCTAAAATGGATCCGGTGCTTGTTCGGCTCCTCCACGACGTGGATAGGAAAGTTCACAGCGCTGTATGACAATGCCACGCTCCCATCAAACATCCTGAGCCTTTCGAATCTACGTTCCTGTCGCAGCAAATCTCACGATCTAGCGCTTAAAGCTTGGATCCACCAGGAAACATTATTGCTCTGCTTCGATTACCGACAGTAGTTACCTCGAATCCCTCCCATTCCAAGATTCTCAAGTACCTAAACAGAAATCTTCGGTAAAGATGCAACTCCTGAAAGAAAATGAAGCTCGATTTATAGGAAAATAACCTGTAAGAGCTCGATGTTTCGGGGGGGGGGGGGAAGGAGAACGGGCGAATCGACAGGGTGACATCACGAAGAAGCATCTCGGATCGTTCGAAGATACTCGATGAGCTCAATCATGCAATGTCTTTTCCACCAGCACAAAAATCCAAGAAAGAAAAAGAGTAGACTAGCGAAGAATCCACGGCACCGTACCTTACACGCCTTTCATGAGCTGTCCGTCTTCCTGTCCGTCTTCCATCAATCTGACATTGGATTCTCGGTGAGATGAAAACAAAGCAAAAAACAGCGATGATCATTGACTTTTGCTCATCTCAGACTACACCTCATTGGGCTCTCTCGACTCTACTCGACTGCAGTGAGTTTATTCACTTCTCTATTTTACCGAGGGAAGAAGAAGCATTGGAATTTGGATACATCTGAAGAGGATTTTGTCCATTTCTGTGGCTGCTTCACCGGTCGGTACGGAAGTTTATGGTCCAAGAGGGTCATCATACTTGCACCCATCTCCTGCAGCAACCTGCAGCTTTGCGCATGCAAGTTTCTCGACTTGTTCGTCCTCGAGATTTCCGCAGGCTCAGCATGCTGAGGGCACATCCATTTTTCCTTCCAGTGGTGGGGCATAAGATACGGACCGCAGTGACCCCATCCGTAGCTCTCCTGTGAGATGAAAGGATGGACTTCACATCCTCGGGATTAAATATGATGAAGCTGCGTTATCCTAAGCTCAACGGACCGGAGGACGCCAATTGGTGATATTTGCGCCGTCGGCGGACTTGTGCGGGGCCCAACGTGTGTCGGCTGCGTAATTAACGTGCGTAATCGGCCACTGGACTGCCGTGATGGGCCGGATCTTGGCCGGTCTGCCAAAAGCCCAACTTCGAGGGATACTGCGACGGGACCCATCGCATCCGGTGACGGCGCCAGTAGAAAGTAAAATGGAACGGGAGGTTACTGCATCGCATGGCGAACATGATCGAGCAATATAATATGAAACAAGTAGGTGGTACGCAAAGGCGCCGCCCATGCACCAAAGAGGATGGTCCACGCACGAATGGCATCGCCTTTATGATCTCAACCACTCTCGCGCTTCCGTCGCCGCCGACCGTCCACCACGATTGACTCGACTCCGTGTTTCACGTTGGCGTGCGGGAAACATTTCTTGCACGTCCCAAACTCACACCTGAACGGATCCCATCTCTGCGTGCAGTCACAAGGCAGGTGGGCGTGGGTGGTGGTCGATGAGGGGATTGGTAAGGCCTTGTTCTGCTCCGAACGCGGTACCCACACTTGCTCGAAAGGAAGCCGCCGCGGGCCACGGCGGAAGAAGTTCTTCTTACGTTACGGAGAATCGACCTACGCGCCTTGACAAGTCATCGCTTTCGGCGTCCAGCGTTATAAATAAGACCAGAATGGTCGAGTCGAATCCATCATCATCGAGCTTCCGGTTTCCATCTCGAGCGACAGGCAGCAGACGTCTGCATCTCCAGGGCCGACGTCCAAGCCACCGAAAGCTTCGAGGAGGAAGAGATCGGTCTCCAAATTGTCGGGAAGCTTCGGACCATGGGAGGCAACTCGAAGACCACCTCTGTTGTCGTCGATGCCAGAATAGCATCGGCACCTGAAGATCGCAAACCCACGTCCAGCAAAGGCAGCAGCAGCAGAAACAAACCCTCCGCCGCTGCCTTGTTCCCTGGAAGAGGAGACGCCGGACGACAGCCGCGTGTGGCTGAGCTCAAGGCGAGGAGAGCAAAGCGCTTAGCAGCGGAGGAGGAGGAGGAGGAGGAGGACATCAACGAGGTAGCCGATGCCTTCATCAGGCGATTCAGGGAGGACCTCCACCTGCAGCGCCTGCAGTCCATCGAGAACTACAACCAGATGCTCGCTAGGGGGCTGTGACCGTCCTTGCTGACTGCAGTGTGCTCTGTGCGCCGATGAATCAACTGCATGCAGCACAAATTTGTCTGTTCTCTTTCCTTTTCGTGTGCTTTCAGTTTGATCCTTTGTAAGTTCATTGTGCGTCGGGTGTCGGAGCATGTGCTTTTAGCTTAGCCTGCGTTAAGTTCATATATGATCAATGCAGCCTTTCGTTTCTAGTGACAGAAAATTGTATTTGATCTATAGAGATGTCCAACATAAGGTGATCTCCGGAGAAACCAACATATGTGGCATGAAGTGCTCATTAAGAGTAGAAGATCACGTTACACAATTTACTCGATCAAAATCAGAAAGTAGGCTTGTGTCCGCAAGATATGTTAATAGTCTAATATGTTCAATCGCAATATGGACACAATAACAACCAAGCAAGAGAAGCAATCGCTAATTATATATTATCCCCTATAGTTAGCTATCTTCAATGTTTTAATCTTTATACTTTAAAAAACTATATCGATGTTTCTATAGTTATGAAAATGAAATATCTAGTTTCATTTACTTGAACGATATTAGTTTTAATGACGAAAATAAATGATAAAAAGATAATTTTAATATTCGATAACAAACGACGTTGGTGGTGGTGAATGATGACGTCGTTTGCATCGATGCTGACTGTCCAACTTCGACGATGAAAAGGTCTGCTCTCACCATGACACCGCCCGCCTCCACGAAGAGTGTGTCGCCAATCTCATCGTCACCCGTCGCGCACTGCTTTACATCTGCGGCGACACTAACGTAGTTGTTGAGTGACAACTATGTCCACATTGACATAGATGGCGGTAGCCATTGCAACGTCTACAGCGAAGATGGTGGTCACCTCGCCGCTGATCCGTTAAGCAAATCCCAGCCTCGAACCGAAGCTGGGGTCATCGAAGCTCCTACCGCATCAATTTCGACACTACCTCTCGTCGAGCGACCCTTTCGCTGCTTTGCATCTACGTCAGCATCAATCCAATTGCTAAGCGACAAAAGGGTCGCTTGGCATCTACTTCAACGTCGACTTAGATGTAGAGCGATGTCATTTGACATTTGCGTCAACGCCACAACATTTGCGTTGATGCCAATAGGTGGAGGGACTCAAGAACGATAGGGTGGAGGCCGCGATAGGTGGCAAATGCAAAGGCGAGGTTGCCACCCTCAACATCAATGGTGAGGATGAGGCGACAATGGCCGCAACAAATGAGGCGAAAACACTAATGAAGGCATAGGTTTTATTGCCCTCCACCATCGTCCTCCTCCTCGTCTTCCTTTACCTCTACCTCTGATGCTTTCGCTTTGTCCGACCATTGTCGCCTCGTCTTCACCATCGACGACATGTGTGACACTCTCACCTCCGCATCTACCACCTGTCACGACCTTCCACCCTATCGTCCTCGAGTCCATATGTTGATATCGATGCAAATGCCAAGACCGCTTTGCATATATGTCAATGCTGATACAAATGCAAAGCGACGAAAGAATCACTCAACAAGAGGTGGTGCTTGAATTGACGTAGCAACGAAGGGAGCGAGAAGCGTTCCAACGACCACCATCTACATCAACATTGACGTACTTACCAATCGATAACTACATCAACGTAGATACAAATATATAACCACACGAGACGAGCAACGATAAGATTGACAACGTGCTCTTGGTAGAGACAAGTGACATCACGATGAGCAAATATTATCATCGTCAAAGATGACCAGACTATCATCATCAAAGATGACCAAACAATTACGTTAGTATTAACAACAACAACATCATACACAATCACCGACGACATTTATCATCAAACGTTAAAATTATCCTTTTATCATTTATTTTTATATTTTTATCAATAAAACTAATATCACTAAAATAAATAAAATTAAATATTTTCTTTTCATAACTATATAAATATCAATTCAATTTTTTTAAAATATAAATATCAAATATCAAAATATTAAAGATATCTAACTACATAATCTATTAATTAAACCGAAAAACAAAGTACAACCTACATCGCTCTTCCAGCGGAATTAGCACAAGCACAAGGACGAAGTTTGTGGAAATATAGATGAGGATTAAGTACTCTAACACCCCCACCCGGCTACAACTCAATCTGAAAATCAAAGGATAAAAATTTTGAATTCAGACAAAACATGCATGAAAGATAGCTGGCTGGTGATGCAAAAATTGTCCTCATTAAAAAACCTGATGCCACAAGTTTAAAAGAACACAAGTACTCGTATGAAAGGCACATTGTCCAGCTAGCTGAAACACAAGCAAATAGTTGCATCAAAAAGATAATTTCAAAGGTTCATACTAAACTATATTTTACTTCTCCAATAAGCTTTTGGGCCCATCAGCCTATTGACCGCTGGTAACCTGAACATGGTCAGGTCCTAAGCCACCATCGTTTCAGCAGCAGATCCGGAGACACTGCAAAAGCAGTGAGACAGCAATTAAAACCAGAACATTTAAAGTTAGAAAATGATTACAAAAAGGAGTCTTCTTCTAAAAGATCCAGAAGAATAATATATCCAGAAAAAAGCATCAACCAACCCACTGTGCAAATGCAGCGAGACAGCCATTAAAACCAGAACATTTGAAGTTAGAAATGATTCCAAAACGGAGTTTTCTTCTCAAAGATCTAGAAGAATAATATATCCAGAAAAGGCATCAAGTGAATATCAATATAAAGGTCTAAAGCTTGTATGTATAGTAATGCATATAAGATGCAAGCTTCTTTGTCCTCTATATGCAAGAACCACAACTGATGGACTAGTCAAGCATGTTGGATCAACAATAGATATTACTTTTTTTGTGGTTTTGAACAATTATCCATAATACTTGTATAAAGAAGTATTATCTATGACAAGTTTAATGATCAGACATTATTGAGAACTATGATCCAAATAAAAAATAAGTACACAAGAACAATATTCCAAAACTTAATATCAATATAACATATCAAATATTTAAGACAATGAAACCTCACCTTACAAGTGGAACTGTATCCACCCTAAAAATCATAATTGTAATACCCAAAATTCCATGTCATGTCATATATTGACAAAGACTGAATATTTACTAGATGGTGTGTGTTTCCAAGTCATACTCCGTTCATATGGACCAGCGACCATTTGTATGGACGGCAATGCAAATGGACTGACTGGCCTCAACTGTCAACTATAATTAAAAAAATAATTTGTACCAAGCTGCATGATCTATGTTTCTCAAGTGGCAGCAGAAATCTAAACAATGTGTTGGCAGGTGCCCATATTTTTCAATCCCCAAGCTTGGATTTGCAAAGATATGCAGATTAAAATACATTAAAAAAATTGATTGATCAACTTAATAGAATGTGAGGACAATCTTCAGATAGAAAGATGAACAGGATGCACCAATTAACAGCTAACATCACCAACCCACATTGAAGATGAATGTTGACCAAGTGAGGCTAACAAGTCAGATATCATCATTTTCTTGGCATATGAGATATGAATTAACTGATTCTGCCCAACCAGAGACAGCAGGAAAAAAATAAGAAAACTAAAAAAAAGACATAGATTCTTAAGAATCAACTTACCAATACATTCACCAATAACTAGGTAAAAGTTATCCTACATATATCCCCTCACTCCCTTCCCCATTATCATTGGTAAATTGACAAGAAGATTTGTCAAAGGTGAAAAATGGGATCAGTACCAATCGAGCGTGGCGTATGGAAAGCCACATCCGGTGACATATCAGTAACTGGATATAGTTTCATTACTCATCCCTCATCTCATCCTCCTTGCACCTCTTTTCTTATTATCCCTCTTGAATCCCTGCCACTTGTTTTCTTCTTGTACCTTTTTCTACTCATCCTTCTACTGGGTGTCGACATGGGGTTGTGTGGATAATTGTCCATAACCAACAAGTCCAAGTTTCTTGATTTAATTAAAGTCAGGATAGTACATGAAAATCATACTAGTCAATGCACACATGAAGCACACAAGGAGAAATATTGTATTAAATATTGAAAACAGTAAAATGACAGTATGTCTATAAATCAAACACCATCAGCCTAAAATAAATTTCTACTAGAAGCATCAACTCAATCCTAAATTACATAAGTATAATATGTAGCTAAGAATATCTTAAAACAAAAAAGTTACAAATACATTGGGTCAAGAACAAACACTGTGAAGAGCACATCACAGGAAAAGCAACCTACTACAATTATATTCTGAAAATAACATGAAAACCTACAATCTCATATCATTTTATGTTCCAAATAACCGAACAAATGAAGACTAATATGACAGCCATTTGCTTGTCGTACGCTAGGGTTAGCAGTACCCAGAGTCCACGTACCATTAAAATAAAAAAAAGGATCCGAGAACATCAAAATTTTGACATTCAATTACTAGGCAGGTTTAATGGTTATACTGACTGATAAAACTTTAATTAATGCAATCCCCTATTGTCAAAATGCATGATAAAATTCTTATGCCTTCTTCGCTGAAAAGAAATTCTATGCCTAATCTCTATGTATCATTCTTTCCACAAAAAAAATGTTAAAAAAATGCTACTTACCTATCAAGCTAAAGATTGAAGCAGACAGGGCTTTCAGAATTTGTCAATCTGTCAGTACACTACCTAACAAACAATAAGAGCTGATGCAAAAAGAGACTACATAACAACAATTCATATGTCTCGATGACCCATTCAAAATATTTAACACCTCACCAAGGGATCTAATGGAAACTACTAAATAATTTCATCATCCACTTATGGACAAAAGACACGGATTTGACAATAAAATATAAAAAAGACAATTGTTTAAACATGTTAAAAGGTTTCCAATGATCAATGCCTAAAAGATCCATTAAAAATGAGAGTAACCACACATCAAATATCATGATTTGATTTTAAAAAACCCAATGACTTAACTTCCAGCATTAAAGTTGATAAAATATTAATAAATAACCTATCCAACTTTGTCCAATTCCAGTATTACAAAATTCAGAAATCCTAATCGATAAAGAAAGAATCATTTCATGCATTGAGAGTGCTACTTGTTCCGCTTGTGCGGTAACCCAAGGACCACAACTTCAAAGAGATATTCGGCACCTTACATTTGGGTACAGATATAAAGATCGAAATCAAGTGTAAAACGTTAAACTTAATTCCATTCAATGGAATACTGAAGTTTAGCTAATAAGAAAGGAAGCCAACAATAAGGGTAGTAAAGTAACTCACTATTTATAGGTTGCAGGAACCTGCTTGGTCCTCTTGTAGTATCGGGTCAGGCGGTGGATCCTGCTCTCCACAAGGATCAGCCTGAACTTGGAATCCTTGTCCTTCTTGTTTCTCTCCAAGTGCTTCCTGATTGCCACAGCCTTCTTAATCAGAAAATACAGATCTTCCGGAATCCCCGGTTGAAGACCTACATCAACCACATACCAAAAATCAAAAGTGATAAAAGACACAAACGATTCATGACAGCACCAAACACAGAATATGAATAAGAAAAATATATTAAAAAAGCATCGCGGCTTAGGAAACTAATAACAGTACCGTGGGCCTTGAGGATCCGGAGGATCTTGTTCCCGGTGACACTCTTGACCTGGGCGATGCCATGAGAGTCACGAAGAATAACACCAATCTGCGACGGAGTCAGCCCCTTCTTAGAAAACTTGCAGATGCTTTCCTCCACCTAAGAGAGATCAAGCACATCAACACGCTTCAACATAAGACACTCCGATAGAAGGAAAGAACAAAGAGGAGATGGCTCACTTCTGCAGCAGAGATCTTGAGCCAACTCGGCGGAGTCCTCTTGTACGGTAGCGCCGACGAGGATATACCCTTTCTGCAGTTCACATCACGGAGATTGAAGATCCCAGCACACAAAAAAAGAAATCGAAAAACATCAACCGGGGCGAGATGCGGCATGGAGAATGGGGATTACCCGCGACTGTGCATACGACCCATGGCGGCGGCGGCGACGGCGGCGGAGAAGCTTGGGTGGAAGCGACGCGCAGAAGAAACCCTAAGCCGGCCGAGAGAATGCGTCGTTAGGTCTTCTTAGCGATGCTTATATACAGGTGGTGGTGGGTCTCATTTTACCGAAAATGCCCTCGAGGCCGCCTATCAGCCGTTCAAATGCGCTCTGACGGATGTGATTGAACTTGATGATCTCGATCGATGAACGATATGGATCGAGATGGACGTGAAACCATTAGATTGGAGGCTCCCAAGTGCAGTCTTCGCCGATGAATCGAACGGGCTACAAGAATCGGACCAAATAGTGGACTAGTAATTGGTCCGGAGCGGCCGGTCCAAGTTGTGTCTAAATTAAAAGCAAAATGAACCGATTGGTTCAGCCAATTTTTGAATAATCTGTATAAATCGGATGGATTACATACAACTAATAGGCTTTATACTGTAACGAAAAATTACTCAAATATGTTTAATTTAATTTTTTTTATTATTTACTTTAAAAAAAAAGATTGATTGTGTTGTTTTTTGGTTATAACTATAATGGATAAATAAATAGCCTATTATGAGATTGAAATCATCATTGTATATTTTTTATGGCTCAAAGTTTTCAATAACTTATCTTTTCTTATTTCTTGGTTTTATGATTTTTTTTATATTTTCGTTCATTCATAATAATTTTTGTCTAATTATGATTCTTTGAAAAATTATCCTCGTTGAGAGCATTGCACATATGTAAATATATATAATCGATGGCTTAAATTTGAAAGTATACGCTGTATACATATTATCCCATTGGCATACTACTTAAATTTATAAGTAATAATTTTGAAACACCAAACATAAAATCAAAAATTCTTTTTTATTTTCTCTGAAATTTTAATTATTGCTTGATTTCTTAAATACAATTTTAAAAATTATAAGCTTCAGATTCTGGGATAAATTTCGAGATCATATGATGGAAAAAAATACATATTATGATGAAATAAAAAACTTTTTGTAAACCAAGTTTGCTAAAGAAAAAGCTTTTACTATAGCTAAATATCTTTTTTTTTTCCTTCCAAATATTTTTTTTATATAGAAGCATGCTTTTATTTACGGTGATGGTAATTCAAAATGATTATTTATTTTTATCGTAGTATGTGAAAGAAATATAATTTTTTTATTATTTTTATTTGTTTTATATATGATAATCAAAATAATTAGAACATGCGTAGATATTTATCATTACAAGTGAATATTCGATTTGCATAGCTATTAATGGAGCAAAACTGTAACACCAACTTACTGGAGCAAGCATGATGAGTGTATTACGTCAATTTCAGCTTAAACATTTTGATCAGTTGTTTAGATCAAACGAAGTTGATAAGTCAATTAGCCCATAAGACCGGAGTGATGATAAAAACATTTGACAGAAAAAATACATGTCATCCTGATATATTATCAAAAATATATAAATTATAGAAGTTCGAGCATTTATATGTAATTTAAATATATTTACTTGTTAGGTTGATCTTCATCTTTTGATCGTTAGCATGATTGCAATTTTAGCTACTGTTTAAATTAATCAAAAGATGAGCCACTAGGGATCTAAATATTTGGAGACATAGGTATGTTATTAAAGTTTGAAATAATACTTCATAACATCTTTTTAACTTTATCTAAAGTCGTTAAGATTATTCTACCCATCCAAAAATAAGCTCGATAATAATAATAATACTAATTATTATTATTATTATCATTTTTATTACTCTATTGTCCACAAAAATATTTTGTGGACAATATTAGGCTAATTATCTGATTTATTTGGAATAAAAATCTTAAATCGTACAAATGTTTATGATCCTTCATCCCACGATGCTTCCTGTTAGCACAACCAGTTCGTCTCATATGATCGGAATCGCGCAAGACGCTCTGATGCAGGCGATTGGCTGATTCGAAGAGGATACACCGTCGCATGCAGCGGAGTTTCATCGACTTGAGCACCGATACACGAACGCTGTGTACTTCTCTCGCCGATAACTCACTGTCCCAATAAACAAAAGGAAGAGCAGCTCGGATCGGTCGATGCCTGAGACCATATGATACAGACGTCTTCGACCGAAAAGCGACATCATACAATTGATAAATGCTGGTGGTGCATCTTATGTTCTGCCTTCTTCCAATGGACGTCCGACAAGCCGGCAAAAACACTTTTATCTACGTCCATGGACGCCCCATCTCCCGCGCTTTGAGTTCCACGGCGAAGGTGAGAGCCACCTTCCTTCGTGTCGGTCGCATGGCCGTCTTATGCTCCAACACTGGGCCATGCGGTGTGGGAGGACAGTTGGCCGTGACGGTGGTGCAGTTGATGCCTCCATTTTTATTGAGCTCCCTCTGTCTCGTGCGTGCCTAAACAATGTGCGAAGCGGGTCAGAGAGACACGTAAATGGCTGAGCAGGCGAGTTGGCTCGGATGTGTCATATCATATCAGGACAACAGTTTCAGCCACGGTTGACTTAGTGCCCCTTTAGATGTTTGAATTCATGACGGTGAGACACAATATTTTGGGGAGGAAACCGATCTCAAACAAAGTGCGGGCTAAATAATTCATATGAATTGCCTCAAAATATCCATGCATGTTGCGATCGTTCGCCCTCCTCCCTTCCTCGAGATCGAGTCAAAAAAGTCGAGTGAGAAGAGTCAACCTTAGAAGAAGTCATCAGCTTTTCTCCGTCCCCGAAACAAACAAAACAAGTGCGTCCACGTTTGGATTCTTGGTACATGTGGCTGGAGCTATGGATTCTTCCAGCTCAACCCACCGTCACCTCCCTTACCTATATAAGCATGTCACCTCAAATTCCATCGCTCTGTGTTCTTGGTTCTCTCTCTCTCTCTATATATATATATGTATATATACCAAGCTTTTGTGGGCTTCCCGCAGGCAGAAGAGGCAAAGGTGTGGTTGCCGTGCATGTTCTGTTGTTTCAAGTAATTTTTTTCTTTTTAGCAGGACTTGTACTCCTTCATCGTTTCTCTTTTTCCTGAATCCAAATCCTTATCTTTTGGATCTGAGATTTACTGATTGCAAGCTGATGTTTTTATTGATTCGGTTCTTCCGCTCATTTTCTTAAGTGGAGTTTCTAAGTCTAATTATAAATGAAGGAGATGTCTTTTATCTTGTGACTTCATTGATCTACAGGAGATTCACTCATGTACATCTACTTATTTGACTCATTATTTGTTGAAATTAGTTTGAGCTTTCATCGATCTACGGTGATCTTGACCGGATGTGTCTTTCAATCGTTGCTGTGCAGGAAGAAAATTGATAGGTAATTACTCTGTTCCAACTCGACATGCCAATATCATTTTCGTTCCCAGAAGTTGATGATGATGCCAAGGATGAAAGCTCAAAAGCCATTCTCAATGACAATGTGAGGCCAGCCCTGAGGTCTTTGAGCTTCAAGGGTCGAGATTCCAATCATTCCACGGTCAAAACTCTGCAGCCGGGCAAGTTAGTAGTCAAAGGATCCCTGAGCTTCAACAACACAAGGCAGATGCGCCCTTACCACTTTGAAACGATGATCTCGCTAGTGAATCCTACGACCGAAGACGACAACTCGAAAAGTTCAAATGCGCCTGCACTTTCAAGGTTTACTGTTTTGAAGGACAGGCCGAAGCATGAAGCTGCTGTGAAGTTGCAGAAAGTCTACAAAAGCTTTCGTACAAGAAGGCAGCTTGCAGATTGTGCTGTCATCGTAGAGCAGCAATGGTATGACATATAGCATACGTATCTGATCTTCGTTTAGCTCAGACAACTAATATGTTTTCCTTTAACTAGGTGGAAATTGATCGACTTTGCACTGCTCAAGCTGAGTTCTGTGTCGTTTTTCGACATTGAGAAAGAAGAATCAGCTGTTTCTCGATGGTCGAGAGCAAGAACCAGAGCTGCCAAGGTAAATTGCTTCTCTCTGCAATCAAACTACCAATGCCGTGACTGTCTTCCGATCGTGTGATGTCGAGCATTCACCCATGCTTGATTTGCAGGTTGGCAAGGGGTTATCAAAGGACCAAAAAGCTCAAAAACTTGCCTTGCAACATTGGCTAGAAGCGGTAAGTATGGTAGATCCAAGATTCATATCTCTCTCCAATCTCCATTTGTCATATTTGTCGGTTTCTTGGCAATCAACAGATTGATCCTCGACATCGCTATGGTCACAATCTCCATTTCTACTATGACTATTGGCTCCACAGTGAAAGCAGGCAGCCCTTCTTCTACTGGTACGTTTGCAGAGTCCCGTTTTCTTGATGGCTTCCAATAATAGCTCATCGAGAAGTCACCATTTCTGACTCATCAGGCTTGAC